TACACATCACAAAAAAACAATAGAACAACAGTAAATTATAAAACAGACACTAAACATTTAGGAACACATTATGCTGACATATTAAACAAAATTAAAATTTAATAAAAATGAAATTGCAGCTACATAAAAAATAAAAATTTAACAACAATAGTATAAAAATAAACTTAATTTATTATAACATAAATTTAGAACCTGAAAATGGAGCATATTAGATTTAAGGTAATTATAAATTTAATGTAACAACCCAATTCTGACATATATTGTAACATGCACTATATTTTAACTCAATTTTTAGCCATGTATAAAAAAAAAAATTGGGATTGTAGTTCTGAAGAAGAGAGTAAATATCCCGAAACGTTAAAATGTAAACATGTAATTTGGAAATACAATAAATAAATTCAATTGTTGTTTAATTGGAAGTCATCATTGCCAAATAACAAAGAATATCTAACATACAAGGACGTAAAAGATAATGGGGAGTAAAGAAAAGCAAATATAACTTTTTAATTGATGTAGCCAATAATGTCTACTTTTATATTATTTAATGAGAAATAAACGTTTCCATAGGAATTGAATAGATTTTTCAAAGATGTATGGATAAAAAAATGTTTTTTCTGCTTGATAAACTAAAAACATACAGTGCAAAGTTTATATTAATATAAATATTAATATTTATTAATAATTTATATTAATTGCCTTAAGTTTGTATTTATAATTAAAGTAATATATTTAAGGTTCATTAACTCCTTATAGAAAAAGGTTAATTTATACTAAAAATAGTAGGTGAAAATTGTGTGATCGATTTCATATTTTTTTTTTTATTTAGTGTTTTGTTTAACTTATGCACTCTCTTTTGAAATAATATATATTCTACAGAAAATTGAATATAAGCTACTAGTTAATGACCTTTTTATTTAAAATAAACAAAATAAGCCACAAGTATAAAATAACGTAATAACAATTTTAAAATTGTAAATATAACACGGTTCATTTCACCAAGCCTACACAAGGGGAGATGGGATTGTCATAAAGGGTTCAAGGGGCCCGGTAAAAGCAATTGGATTTTATAACCCAAAATAAAGGTCTACGGGCTGTTAAAAATTTAAATATATCAGAGAGTAAACTCAGACTCATACAAAACAACACCTACACTCACACACATTATAAATATAAAGTGGGAGAGCCCAGATGATTACTTGCAAAAAACATTTTTAAAATATTATTTATACTAGACTGAAACGACAAGAAACCGCTCGATGTTTCCGATTACTTCAGCACTTACTAGACAAATGCTCTAAACTTCCAATTAATTACAAAAGACTCATATACATGACTATAATAAGGCCTATTCGCACTTACGGAGTTGAGCTATATGGCTCCACTAAACCATGGAACCTCTCGTATCCAATCCTTACAATCCAAAATCCTTCGTAAAATTCTCAATGCTCCCTACTTTGTTAAAAATAAAACCATCCATAATGACCTTAGTGTTTCTTTTGTTTCAGATCTGGCCCAATCCAGATACCTATCCTTCCATAATAAACCTCAGACTCATCCCAACCCTCTCGTTTCTAACCTTGCTTCCTCTTCAATTCCTGATAACCCTCCGAGGCGTCTGAAAAGATAATGGCCCCGTGATCTCCTAATGTAGACATATCATTAGAGTTCTACCATTGGGTAGTTACTCAGCAAGTGTTTTCATGTCATTATATCCATATGTTCAAATTTACTAGATGTATTTATCTAATACGGTTGTAAATGTAACTAAGAAATAATAATTAAAAAAATGTAAAAAATATTAATAGTAACATGGCTGGTTCATTGGGCAAAGATTTCTCTTGTTCTTCCATAAGTCCTCGGTTCAAGGTATCAAGGACAAAAGATTAAGCTTGACTATAGTATAACCCCGTTTATCTTAAATAAATTAGCCAAGACCATTCCAGACAACGCAAATTCAGAATAAGAGTTATTTGAAAATATAGTAATATGAATGACATTTGTTGAATGAATGACACACACCAAATAATAAATAACAATTCATCTTACGGTATTGGAATTTGAACAATTTATTTATTTTAAACGTAATATAAGAAAATACGATATAAATATAAGTTTGACGATTGTTTTCTCGCATCGATCTTGTTCGATCGCATTATCAGTAAATAATACATCGCCAGAGTTTCTCACACTGTTCTACGAAATTTAAATTTACATATAAATTTCTTCATTGAGATCAGTACATAGCATTTTTTTTCAATACTTTTTCTAGTCTTAATTACCCATTTGTGCCACTCGTACAAAAATATAACGAAAACTTAAATTAATTTCTTTATTTATTTGTTTTTAAATTAAAGTTGTTTTTACTCCCACAACCGAATATATTAGCCAACTAGGTGCAATTAATATATTTTTTTCGCCATGAATCCATAGTGACAGAATCCTTTAGAACTGGACTAATCCTTAGTCAATGAAGTTTTGTCTCCCTTTTGAAGTAAAACAACGATTAATACTGCCAAAGAGGCTCCTAATCCTTAAGTTCCACGAAAACCACAGAGTAATTATTAAGGTCCTTTCTTTATGTCTACCTAGGGAAAAGTTGAGACCCTCCCTCAACTTTTTAATAATGCGCTTCCTATTTAGTATGAAATAAATTTTATTGATTTTTAGAACTTTTTATGAAAAAAAAAGGGGGATTATAAAAAAGTTATGTAATGTCTTTTACAGCAGCTGCCGATATCATAAACCTAGAAGAATGGAAGCTTAAATAAACAAATCTATCCAACGGAACGGATGATTGCTTGGCTTGGAAAATTCTCCAAACAATAGTAACAATAGAAAAGTTACCTCATTACTTAAATCGAATATTAATTACTTCTTGGTTTGTTTACAAAATATAGAGCAACTTCTGTGTATTATATATATCTATAACTATATATATATATAAATATATATATAATATATATATATATATATATATATATATATGAGGTCCTCAGACAAGAAAAGTTATTTTTTTATTTTCTAAGCAAAACTCGCGACATTCACCAAACTTCAAATTTCTATGACTTCAAAATGTGTACAAACACGTTCTGTGGGCTCTGAAGTACAGTCGCGGGCTTAGGAATTGCATAAATTATTTCTTTTGATTGATATGTTGATAAAGATGATTCCATTGAGTGTTTTTATTTTTATTTACTTATTAAGGTTACGAGAAAGCTTTAACAATGTTTCTCAGTTCAGTTTTAACTAATGCCAGGATAAAAGCTGTAATTATGAGCTGCATAAAAAACTGTCCTAGTCAAAAATCATTAAAATTATGACGTTATATGAAGTAAAGAAATTTTTACGGGAAATAGTAACGAGGATACGGTACCACCAATCACCGGTATTCATAGTTTAAAAAAAAATGACACCTTGAAGCGGAAGAAAGTAACTGCAGGAGAATAAAAACAAACGAACAATTTGACCGCTTAATGGTGCCATTGTTTTTAGAATATCGTTTCATAACTGGTAAAGGATATCATCATAACTACAGTAGCAATCTGATAAATAAAATAAAATTTAAAGATAAAGATAAAACAATATTGTATTCAATGGATAAGTAGAGTATTTTTAATTATATCTATTTTTTTTTTTCAAAATACTGCGGTTGAAGAGAATTTTCGTTTCATGTTTATGATTGATTTGTTTTTTATTTAATTGTGGTTTAAGTTGGGGACAAAAACAAAACAAAATAAAAATAACTTTTTTTTTTATTTCAACGTACTCATAACAACCGACTGTTCTTTATCGTTAGATTCAGTACGGCAAAATTCCATAGAGTCTGAACCCCATTATAATTATTTTGAGGGAATTTCTGAAAGAAATTTCGGTGTCCAGAGAATCGAACGTTTCATTCCACTGAGCGACGTTTCGACGCGACTCGGTACTACCTTCAGGGAACAGAAATGTGATATGCAAAAACAATCTCAGTAATCAGAACTTCGATAGTCCGAAAATCCAGTAATCCGAACTCGTCCGAAAAAACAAAAAACAATATTTTAAATTTATGACATTCCAAGTGTTTGATAACTTTTCGCTTTTTTGTGTTCCATATGGGTTGGCTACATACAATACCAGTTATGTCGGTTATCGACTGCGAACAAAATGTTTGTAATAAACACAAGCCAGGCCTAAACGATAACAGTTTATCAGTGCCGCTGTAGTCCCAGTGTTCGCATAGCATGTACCGGATAAACCTCTTATTTTTTTTCAATCTTGGTTTTTATAATTGATTATGAAAATAAAGTTTTTAAAAGTGCATGAATAAATTTAAAATAAAATTGATCAATTATTTAATAATATAAACCAACTTTATGGTATGAAGTTGTTCCTTATTGATGGCAGAAATTCTGTAATAATATCTTGGGCCCTGTTAGAAAATGAACAAAAAAAATTAAAAAAGAAAAACTTAGATTAACGTGTAGTTAAAATAATTCAAAAACTGCCCTTATCAACAAACTTTTTAATTTTTTTTCGCAATATTTAGGCGAAGTTCAGGGTTTTTTTTTCATGGTATTTCAAAACTAGTAAACAAACGCTTGTTAGTCTAGCTTTTTTAAAACGATTTGTCAATGTAAGAGAGTATTGAATCAATTTATTCATGAATTATTGTTATAACTTAGATTTTTCATGCATATATAGTTCGCTCTTATTTATTTTTATTTTTTTTAGATACTTATAAATAAATAATAATAATGACTGCATCAAAATATTAATATACAATATACATTTCTTTTGTAATATAATTAATATTATGAGCAAAGATGATCAATACAACTTTATGATGAACAGAACCAGTATATTAAAACTGAGAAACGTTGATCAGTAATCATTGACCCATATTTTTTATATTTAATATTTACTGTAAATCTTGTGACTATATAAAACCAATATTAAATAACGATATGTTATCAAAGGCATATAAAAGTAACTTTATTTTTTCTTCTGTCTATAGAAATATGTTGCTGGCAATCCTCATCTCATTCTGCCTGGCCCAGATCTGCCTCGCAGACCTTGGCAGGGACGCTCAGCAAAAACGCCTCTATGACTTCGGCTTGGGGAAAAGAGCTGCATACACTTATCTCTCCGAGTACAAACGGCTACCCATCTATAACTTTGGACTTGGCAAACGAGCTGACGACAGCTACTACTACAAACGATTTAACGACATGGACTTGGAATATGAAGATGACGACGTCAAAGACGACTTTAAGAGAATGAAACAATACTCCTTCGGTTTGGGAAAACGCCTTCCTCTCAAAACCTACAACTTTGGTCTTGGAAAACGATCTCAATTCGATGACCGAGAGGCGAGCTTCAACGAAGGTTTCGATGATGACAAGAGATCCAACAATGGTCACAGGTTTTCTTTTGGGCTGGGAAAGAGAGACGGCGCTAAGCAGGAACTACCAGGCAGAAGAAGCATGCAGTACAACTTTGGACTTGGCAAACGAAGTCAACCCAAAGATGAAATGAACCCCAACTTCAATTTATAAGCCTATTTTTGTATCTTTATGCTAATAGCTACTTAATACGCCAAGTCTTTATTACGTTCTTTGTCTTAAATTATTTAATTCAATAATGTATGTATATATTTAAATGCATGTGTCAGGAGTATTCAAGGTAAATCAGTATAAATATGTCATATTGCTTTTCAAATTTACTGTGTATATACATGCTTATTGTGAATCAAATTGAGAGAAATAAACTTTATTAACTAGTGTGTCAAATATCCCAACTCATTTCGATGTCTACCTTTATTTTGAAATGTAACTGATTTAACATTGTGAACCGCATTTTCGTTTTATGTTTATGCTATATTGAAAATATTATGAGAAACACAATCAATTTAAATTATGTACATTTGTTATTGAATTACTGTATTTTAGTGTCCTTAAAATGAAAATTAAATGATAACTGAGCATATTTTATGTGTTATCATCCCTTAATGATAAAGATAGGTTTAAATAAAATTGGTAAATACCGAATATTATTTTTTAACTGGAAAGGCAGCACATGTATTGACAGGTATTGGGCCAGAAAGGTCGGAATCATATCAATGGCGATAATTCAATATGTAGAATATGTATATTACATGATTGACAGGTTTCTAACGATCTGAATTACCTGTATCTAACTAAATGAAACTTCTTCAATTTGCTTTCAATGAAATCTTCATCAATTGATAATCTATACCAACATATAAAGAACATTTAAAAGAAACTGAAATACGCCTTCTTAAGTTACATTTTCAGAAACCGTTTACTTCAAAGTGCTCCCAAAAATTCACAACAGACAAATATGAAATGGTTTAAGGTAAGTAAAGAACGTATGCACGGATACATTAACACTGAATATGCGTAAGTTATGTTCTTCACTTGAACATTAAATACACATATTTTTTTAATTTGACATTAAAACAAAAATTATAAAGAAAATGAAAAACATCACAATCATAAAAATTAAAACAATAATAATACTTTTAAATTTTTTTTTTTTTAATTTACTCAAATAGAAATAATTAAATCTAACTCAAATGTTGCTTTCTTAGCAGCTTCTATAACTTTTATTTCTTAGTGCCAATCTTCAATAAAAAATCTATTCAGTTGTATTTCTATCCTAGGAGTATTTCTATCCCGGCTACTGATATGAAGTTTTATTAATTAATACAGTATCATTGTTTACGTTTGAGTACTTATTCAAAGGCTGAAAGATCTGCGATTTGAAATATACTATCATTTTATTATGTCATTAGTATAATATGAATATGATTATTATTAACACTGGTTATGATTATCATCAAAACACTGGTAGGTAGAATAACTGAAGTTATTTGAATAAACCTATAATGCTCTTTTATAGGGCTTTGGAAAATATGAACAAAATTACTTGTATTTTATATGTTTATGAGGAAATTTAGTTATGAATGTATGCCATTAATGAGCAATGAAATTAGGAGTCAATATTAAATGATAATTACTTAATCTCTTTCATGTTGAGCTTCGTTTATTTGATTCTAACTGTCTAAGATTAAAGACCATCCTTGTAGAATATTTAAGTGGCTCACATTCTAGCATGAAGTTGGTTATCAAACACGAAATCTTTTTAATTGTCTAAATTGGTATTTTAAAACTATGTGACAGTAGTTGCGATTTGAATAAGAGTTATTACGAAATTGGAAAGAGAGCTCCGATATTGTCAATTGGCTCAAAACAATAAGGCTTAAATGAAACCATCACTCCAATTATGGATACAGCAGTCTGCCATTGTACTGGAGTTGGAGACTATAATATTTTTATGACATTATAATGTCATTCCATTTTTACTGTAATGGTAGTTGCTTTGAAAGGTAAGTATACATAAAATGTCTCATTACTCATTTCAATAAATTATTATTTTCATGAGTTCTGTGAAATTCAAACATCCACTAAATATTAAAAACTATTCTATATTACAATACAGGCAGTATCAAATTTCTTTTTATGGTCGTTTTCAATGCTACAATATTTAAAGATTTTTTTAGAATTTTTACTCTAAGGTTTCTACTCACCTTATTTATCAGATATTAAGAAACGGCTCAAGGGTGTAATGGCCTGATAATGGTAAAAGTACATGAAAAACATACTATTAATTTATCAGATGTGTAGATAAACGGCTGACTGGTCAATTTCAGCCAGGCATATTTGGAAATTCCATATAAATTGAATTTTATACATGTCTCAATAAAATAAAAAATATTCGCAATCCGATAGTTGCTAGCAGTAGAGAATAGAATTAACTCATTGCATTACATTTAAAAAGTTCGGTTAAATTGGATTTATACGTTCCTGAATTACAAAACACGGGACGGTTATAAAGTAAGGGATCTAATTTAAGTGTAAATGACTGGCATACTCCAATTGTCAATCAAGTGAGAGAAATAGAGAAAAAATACACAGAGGTGTCCAAATATATTGGAATGCTACATAAATAGCACAATATATATCTTATTTAGGCAATTTCTCGAAACAAATAAAAAATACACTCATATAGTACATTTTCAACAATATAATAAGAGAACTTGTAGTTATTTTTTTCATTTTAAATGGTTGTTTGCTTTTTTTATTTTTTGTAAAACAATATTTACATATAATTATAAGAACATTCTGAAACCCATACGGACCTAAGGACCTTAGCCTTACCTGAAAATTTTCTGATACAGAACGCATCCAATCCTTCCAGTCCAAGATTCTTCGAACAATAGTTAATGCCTCATTTTAAGTAGCCAACGAAATCTCATAGCATGAAATTAATATTACGTTTGTCTTAGACCTTATCCCACAAAAATTCTCCAAATTTTATTAGAAACATATAATTCCCCTTGCTCAATCCCTATCAAGTTCCACCAATCCTTACGATCTTCCTCGAAGGTCGAAACGGTAGTCGTGAATAAGTAAGTTGGACTTCAGGCAATGGCCAGATTCTCCACTCATGACGTATGTACTCATGGCTATAGCGCTCTCACTCAATCTCCTTTGGCGTTTAGTACCTGTGAGGTGGTTGAGAGAGTAGCGCAGGGATCTCGTGGGTCTTGTGGATCCACAGAAGGAGGGAAAAGCCTGCTTTGGAGTTTCCTTGGTTGTTTATAAATAGTGTACAGAGTAGGTATGTCTGTGTTATTTTACTTTGCTTATCTTTAGGTTTAATCTGTTTTTATTTAATGTATGTACCTTATGATAATTATTTAGTAATTATATTCCATTTATTTTATTTTATTTATTTATATTTTCTATGAATATAGTGTGAACGAACTCTTATCTTCCTATAGCCATAGTTCAAATTGTGATAGAACGTTATATCACTCAATAAGATAAGATTTTTAAAAAATAATTAGAAGTAATATATAAAGCCATGAATTTTCTCTCATTCGATCTTTCTTATATACATCAAAACATTAGAGAAACCATCCTCTATGAGTTATCTCTAGGAGTCAAGCAAATAGTCGATCCCTCGGAGATCAAATAACTTTTACAAAAGTTACCTTCAAGCAAAAGTACCAATAAATAAATAAATCCTATCAAAATATTGATATTTACATCCTATACTTAAACATTTCACGTCGTTCATTAAACTTTATTTATGATCCTATAATCTCATAGCCACTAAGTTATAAAAAATATCCATAAAAATGTAATACTGGTCATTTTAAAAGATAGCCTTACGTATTTATAATGTTGAACATTTCTATTAGGTTTTAGAATAAAAAAACATAAAATTAATGAAACAGTAGTAAGAAGATTTGAATAGTTGCAAATACATATAACTTATAAAAACATTAATTAGTCCAATATATCCCAACGTTTTGTATTTATAAATTATTGGAAGCTGACAGACATCCATCTGTCCCTCCCTGAACGGCGTGTTGTAAAAAGGCAAGTAAGGAAGAATAAATTAATATTTTTAATAAATTAGAGAAACCAGAAATAGAAAATCAGCTTGCTAATTTCTTATTTTCCAAAAGTAAACAGTGGCACAACGAATTTTAGCAACATTGTCACAACTGGTATAGTTAAGTGGTTCAAGTTTTATAAATTGATGAAAATTTGATAAAATGATCGCCTAAAATTTTAGAACCCGATCTAGTTAATATTAAGCTGGATCCTATTTTGTTTTGCTTTGCAAATATTCTATAGATTCCACAAATTTATATGTAAAGTTATCCTCGGTTTTTTATACCATGTGCAGCATTTTAATGGAACAAAATTTATTATGGCAATGACTTTTCCAAGTGGCATATGATCAGAAGAGGCTCCTGAAATAAAAAATGAAGAAATGGACAATTTCATAATAGGAAATGTAGCTAGGGTTGCTTGTCTTACAGACTTATTTCAGTCATCGTTGCTTTCTAATAGACATCATACAGACCATATCAGGAGTCGGATATTTGGCGCTTCCGGATAACTACGTCATGAGCGCTCCATCCCTCCTCCGCACAAAATAGATAGTAAAAACGTATTTATCTTATACACTTTGTAAATTTTATAATTCCCAAGTTGGGGGCCTCTAGGTGGCTTACAAGAGTTGCTCGGCTCATAAGAGAGATAATGCATGTCAATAAAAATAGAATTCTTTAAGATAAAGACATTGTTCTGATATTAGTTTCATATTCGGAATCGAAATCGATTACCCAAATGTAGCATTAGCATTTGATGTAACCGCCAAATTTAGTATAAAGTATTGGAAGAAGGTACTTAGACTACTATTTTTGTTCCTGTTATACATTTTTTTTTTTTTTTTTAAATAAGTTACAACTGTATTTATTTATTTTTATTTACTCAACCATCTTTTGGACTGTTGCTTTTGCTTCACGATACAACGTAGTACGTTTTCGTACCAATATTGGTAATGGTACTTTTTTCATGATAACATCCAAGAGTTTTATACTCATAAATTTATGATTCGTCCCACTAAGCAGCAAAACGATAGGACTTGTGGTTCGGATGCCTTCGGCTGTAGTCGTTCAGATTCGTCCCCCACTCCTATCCTTAACATAAATGGATGTTTTAAGTCCAACTATCTAAGTCTATCTTTACAATACAAATCAAACTATCCTTCTCCGAATTTTCCAAGGTAAGTCAATGAAATAATTATAATCCCATTGAAGGCATGAAATTTCTAACTATTTTTATTTCAATTACAGATCATTAACGAATATAAAATCCAATTAATAATGAAAAAATTAACTTTTTCATCTAATTTAAAAATATATTATTAAAATAATGAAAATCTGAATTTAAACGATTTATCACAAATTCTACTTTATTGTTCAGGTAAATATTATTATTTATTACTACTACATAAAGTTACAATTTTATTTTGTACAAGTTATACTCGTGCTACTAAACACGCCTAGTGGACTATGTTCTTCGTTCAAACGCCAAAGAGAGATCATGATATTCCAGTAGATGGCATGAGTAACTTATAAATTTGCTGTGTTCAATAACGTGAAACATACATAACAACAATTGGACCTAAAACTTTCTCATACAACAATTAGAACAATAAGGCAGGGTTGAATAATGATATATGTTACTAAAACATTCTGGTTAGAGTTTGGATGCTGAAGTTTATTCTGTGGATTGTTCACAAAGTGAAACTCAACGCTTATAAAAAAAATCTAACCTGGATCAGTTTTGTTATTCAGTATGCCGTAGTATAGCTCCCATACATTTTTTTATAAAGGTCTCAACACTCAGCAACATTAGCAAAAGTCCTTGTGTGAAATCGAGGGAACAATTTTATTGTCACATAGATGTATTCCTGAGATCGTTCCCCGGAAGTCAAGTGGCATTCTTAAAAAAACGCCTTTTCCTCTAACCGCCATTTTTCTGGTGTTCAGTTATTAATGAACTACTAAATAATGACATCATATTGATTTTTTTTAAATCGTTTTATAATTAAATTGTGAAACATTGGGCCATACAACTATTAGGGCAAATGCACTAGCAGATTACACTATACCAATATTTAACATCCTCCTTGAAAATGGAAATAATGAGATTTCAGGATCTCCTAGACCTCTATTTCATAAATCTGTGGCTTCTATATTTTCTCCTCATATATTTATTTGCTTTTCTTCAGTCTTTTCAGTTTTCTTCAGAGGAACCGTTACCAAATTAATTAATAGAAAAATAGAAAGTTCCCTCATGGTCCACTGAATGATCCAAGAACAACGATCTATCAGTAGGAGTATCATACCTCAGATTTGTCTTTTTCTCTTTAACTACTTCGATTTATGTGAAAATTTTTGTTTTATTTTTCTTAGAGTATTTCTAAATTATGATTTAATCTGTTTCTAACCTATAGTAATTACGAAATGTAATATGTGTCAGCTACTGGGGCCTTATATTGGGTCTTTTGCCAGTTGTTGACAGGCCTAAAGGTGCGTGTACTAGTAGGTATTCCCGAAGATATGTACTCAAAATTACGGATCTTAAAAATGGTCCATCCATGACTTTCATTTTTTAAAAAATCTAGTGATTTGGATTAATTACAAAGCAAAAAAAGGTTATCCTATTACTAAAAACAGCTTCTTGATAGGGTCCAGCATTTACCAAAACATTTAAATCAGCAAACGCAAGAAGTTAGTTTTATAATAAATTAAAGGTAATTTTTTGTTAATCATAAAATGAAGGATATAAAATTTTGCTTAATTACATCCTTGTTCTCATCCCTGTCAGCTGTGGGACCATTCCAAATCAAACAGTGTCAGCAACTGGTACAACAAAACTATTCTCTTAATTTACATTTTTTTTTTTTAATTTAGGTGAATGTTTCATGGATTTTAAATGTGTAATGCCGAGGAGAAAAATATATCTATAAGACGAATCCAAGAAAAATACCTTAACATCAATATTTAAGTTTTAAACCTAAAAGTTCAAAGAAATTTTCTTAAACATGCCTATTGGTGCTTTTTCTTTTCTCAAAAGAATATTAACTGAGTTTCATTTAAACACAATGTGGAATGATAACCACAAAACCATCGTTTATTCGTTTATATAGCCTCTAGTCTATATATATCGTTTATACATATATATATATAGAGACTAGAGGCTACTTTAGTTAATACTGAATATTTTTTCAAAATGTGCATAGAGCAATAAGAAAAGCTATTTTAATCTTAAACTAGTATAAATATTTATGTTTTATTCGAAAATACTACTAACAACAATTGCTCAACAGATATTCCAACATCTTATAAAATCGAATTCTTAATTCGCTAAAAATACAAACCTTATTTTCTATTCTCTTTGGAAAGGTGGGACTGCTGAGCGAATCATTTCTTAAGGTGAAGTTCATAAGGAGGGTTTTTATGAACAGAAAACAAACCCACCGTATAAATGTTTTATAATTTTATGGTGTAATTTTATTTGTTTAAATTGTTCAAGTCTAACGTTAGTAATACATTTATTATTACCAATAACTGGGATAATATCCCAAAGTAAGTTTTTTACATTATGTTAGCATACTTATCAATTTTTGGTTTATTTCCATCTTCACTGATCAAAAAGTTTCATTTAATTCTTGATTTACATTATTCTTTCTTTTTTTTTTTTTATTATTAAAAGATTAATTTCTAAATCATGAAATTATTTTTCATGTTAGCTATAAATAAATTTAGAATATGTTCCTATATTCTCTAATAACTTCAATTTTTAGCTGCTTTATTTATGTTTGCTTAAAAATACGTGATGGCCTGCACAAAGAGTTTTACTAATTTGATATTGTTTATATTAACAATATTGATAACGATATTGTCTTAGTCAAAAGATATCTTTAAAATCTTAGCCAGAATATTTAAATAAACTTATTTACAGGATTAACAATGATTATTATAAGTATTTACCATAAATTCCTTCAAAATTTTAATCAATAGTGTTTGTCATAATGCATTGGAGAAGTTCCTACATTCAGTGCTGAGCTTATCATTGGTTTCATTTTTCCTTCTTTAGAGATGTATCCGATACTATCAATGAGTTTAGGAACTTGCACATTATTTGTCTAATGTTATATTAAAATATACTTTTTTTTTTTCAGATGATGCACTGTTCTAAAGTGTTCACAATTATTGAATTATTATTATTAATAAACACAAATATTTTAGCTGAGAAAGAAGAGGATATTAAAAATGTAATTAACTTCAATAAATTGAGTAACATTTTCATTTATTTTCTATTCTTTGGCAGCAACAATTATAATTTGCTATCAGATATATTCTTATACTTAACCTATATTCATAATTGTAAATCATACTGACTTGTTATGCATTTACAAGCTGCAATATTGTTAATATTTGATACTTATCAATTTTATGTTGTTGTTTCATTATATCTGGTATCAATTTATGATTAGTTTAAAAAGAAATTTGATCATTTATATGGTAAGGCATTTAATTTGGCTATGATGTTGAATTATTTTTTCTTCAATGGATTTTAGAATGTTTCTTGTGAATAATTTAACAAGTCAGCCATTATCCTTTTTGAAATCCCAGTATAAAAATCCAATGCAATTCAATTTTTTTACTGTATTATAAATTCTTCAGTACATAGTAATAATCAAAAAGCACATGAATTCTTTTTTTTATCTTGCGAATTAAAAGAGTCATAAACGTTAATATTTACCTTGTGGTACAGCAAGGAAATGGGAAACGACTACTGGCCTAACCTAATAACGAGTCTGAGGGCCGTAACAAAAATGAATGAGAAGGAAGTTCTCAGACCAATTGCATATTTTGCAGTAATTTAATGGACTTTTTGGTGAAAACAGCTGTGATAGCAGAGCATGTTGCATTGACCGCTTTAACATTAAAGAGCCTATCGGCACCGGTCGAATTCAGCCTGGGAGGGTTGAAATTTATTTTGTGGTGGCCCCGTGGAATAATTCCCCACCTTCCCACTCTTTGGTTGTACCTCTAAATAAACCCCTCCTCCCTGCCCGTTTGATAGCAAGGTAAGGAGTAAACGAAAGAAGTTATTCCATCTGGTTCAAGTATACTCGATTTATTTGAGCATTGACCCATCATTGGTAACTATGTGAGAGTTTCTCTCATGAATCCTGGATCCAGTCTAGCAGCTCCTAGAGGCAGAATATGCATCCAATCTTTCTAGAATCTTTAGTTACAGATGTAACAGGCTCTTCTTCCTCCAGTTCCACTGCCACCACTCTACCATCCCCTAATCAGCCTCCAGCCCTTTTTCTCTTCTCACGATCCCTTCTCTCATATGATGATAACACATTCTCTCATGTGTGGCTGTTGCTACGATAAAAATATATAGCATTTCCAAGTCAATTTCAACCTTTTCCAAGTCAAATTCAACCTTTTCCAAATCAAATTAAACTTTTTCCAAGTCAAATTCAACCTTTTCCATTTCAAATTCAACCTTTTTTTATTTATTTAATTATCTTTAATTTTTCGATGTGTGGGTCTGTTATCGTACGAGTAGTTTTTGAAAATAACCTCCTTTTTAAGATTATGTGACTGAGTTTCGAATTATTTAAGTTTTTTTGAATTATTCGATATAAGGGTGTATTTTTATGTTTCCCGATCAGTAAATTTTGAAAATGACATCCATTTTATGTTTACGCCACTGTGTTTTGATTTATTTAAGTTTTTAGAATTTATCCAATATAAAGGTCTACTTTTATGTTTCTGGAGCCGTAGATTTTGAAAACGACCTCCATTTTAAGATTAGGCCACCGCGTTTCGACTTATTTGAGTTTTTCGGATATTTTTCATATGAGGGTGTATTTTTATGTTTCCGGAGCGGTAGATTTTGAAAATGACCTCCATTTTAAGATCACGCCACTGCGTTTCGACTTATTTAAGTTTTTTTTATTTATTCGATGTAAGGGTCTACTTTTATGTTTCTTGAGCCATAGATTTTGAAAATAACCTCCATTGCATTTTGACTTATTTAAGTTTTTCGAATTTATCCAATTTAAAGGTCTACTTTTCCTATCTTACTGGTAGGCACTTCAAAGTAAATCACAATAATACCTATTCATCCCTCTTTTCTCAATCTGCCGGAGTTCCTCAAGGTAGTATCCTTGGTCCTATCCTTTACACAGTTTATACAGCTGACATCCCAACCCATCCTAACACTGTTATTACCACATATGCCGATGATACATGTGTCCTATCCGTTAATAATGACCCAACCATTGCATCCCAAACTCTTCAATCACACATCAAAAGCCTTGAAGAATGGTGTCAAAACTGGAGGATTAAAATAAATTCTAATAAATCCCATCAAATCACCTTTACCCTTCGACGTAAACCTATGACCTCATGTCCCACAGTATCCTTTAATTTTTACGCGATTCGAGTCATCTTTATCATTCTTATCATCTTTTTCGGAATGTTGTATTCTATTAGTGCTTTAATCAAGTTGGTCCTATTAATGCTGTCAAAGGCTTGGCAATTATCAATGAAAAGAACATGAATTGCAGTTTTGTACTCCCAACACTTTTCTAATATTTGTCTCATTACAAAAATTTGGTTGACTATTCCTTTTTGTTTACGGAACCCACACTAAAATTCTCTTAGAATGCGTTCAACGTAGACATTTAGTTTCTTCAGGATGATATTCGAGAATATTTTATATGCTACCTCCCAAGAGGGATATTCCTCTGTAATTTCTGCATTGCAGTTTATCTCCTTTTTTAAAGATGGGACAAATCCAACTAGTCCCCCACTCTTTAGGCATGCTTTCATTCGTCCATATGTCCAAGACAAAATTATATAGATGTGTGAGCATTTCTCGCTACTACTTTTAAAGAATTTGGCTATTAGTAAATCTTCGCCTGATGCTTTATTATTTTTTAGCTTCTGTATTGCTTCTGTTACGTGGCTCAATGTCAGTGCCGTTCGGGCAATACTCCAGCATTGCTTTCTTCATTTTCACTCTTATCCAATAACCAGGGTGTCCAGCGATCTGGAAAGCCGGGAATTGTACGAGAATTTCTCAAACCAGGAAATGTACGGGAATTTAAAAAAAAAAAATGGGAATTTTTTTATTTTTATTTATTTATGCTCATTTATCCTATAAAATAAAAAAGATAAACTGTTAATAGTATTATATGTTCCTGATGATGGGAAGAACATTTCTCGAAACATCTAACAGATATAGTAATAAACAAAGAATAAAATTCAATAAAAATACGTCTTCCTGTATATAATTCTTTATTTTATCTTGCTACCAGTATAGCTCCTTCACTAGGCTAAATATAATCATCATATAAAAATTAAGAATATAAAAATTAATAACAATAAAAAGCAAAATTTACAAATCAATCTATTAAATAAATGAAAAAATAGCAAATAAATAAAAACTAATTATCACGTAATTTATTACAGTCCTCCTCTCCTGCTTGTCAGATGACAGTTAAAAATAAACACCAAACTATTGTCTTGATGGACATTCGCCATCTCCTACGTCTTGTTTTCATTAGCCACTACTAATTTAATGAACACAGAATCCTCAAATTGATTATTATTAACATTCGAACTTAGCACGTTGTTTTTCATTATATGTTTCTTATTTCTGTTTTTTCAAGAAAATCCATTCTTTTCCGCTTAGATATAGGTTGATTGAGTTTTACGGTACTATTTTTACGTGGATTTTGAAAACAGTAGTTTGTGAATGGAAAATTTTTCAGATAATCATATGAATGAATATTCTTATTTGTTCAACAAATATTAATTTTACTAAACATTTTTATTTTAAACCCATATTTCCAACCGTATTTACTCCTATAAAAGGTAATACTGTTGTATTTACAAATACAATGTTATTAACAGGAATTACATATAAGAAAGATTTTTTTTTAATTATTTTAATAATGGTAATTACATCAGAGGAAAATGTAGGCCTAAGAAACGAAATACAGAAACAATGGTGCTTTCAGAGATAAGATATTTATCTATTTTTTGTTAACATGTGCTTACATTTTGTAACTTTATATATGTTAAAATTTAAAAATTATACACATTGTCATATTTTTAGTACTTAGCACAGATTACACATTGAAATAAATATAGATCCATATCAGAGGGCTACAGCCCACCAAAAGTCTCCTCATTCCACAGTAATCGTATTTACATATGCAATAAACAATATTGTTATATTCATGTAAAATTATAGATAAATGTGTTTTATTAAAAAAATATTGATTTTATTTAAAATTATTTGTATAATTACATTGTTGTATTTACAGGTACGGTAAAGCATATTGTTAAATTCACATAAAAGTATGAATAAATACTCCTTATTACTAAACAAATAAAATTTAAAATGGTTGTATTTACTGATGTAATAAAGAATATTGCCCTATTCACATATTCTTAAAATTAATATTTTTATTGAACAGTCATTTAGTGGAGATATTTTTCCTTTTAAGTTTTTAATGTTATTTGGTTTTTCTATGATGAAAATTGCGTCTATATTCATGGGAGTCCGGTCAGGAAAACACGTATAAGATGGACATGGTCATGGATTTCAGAAGCTATTAATTTTTGCATATTTAATATGTATTATTAATTTGTGTAAAAATAAATTCAATTACGAGGTGATTAAGAGACGTATATGCCCAACTCTGATTTTTAAACGTGGGTTTTACTTGATTGAGTCTCTCGGTTTGTCGTTTATATCAATCAAAAGGATATACATCTCGTTTCATTTTTCAATTTTTCGTTGTCACATAAAAATAGTGTGGTAAAACTCACACAGGCTGTACCTGAAGGGAAAAGAACAGATTTTCTTGAAAAAACAGAGATCAAGAAAAAAAAATTCAAAAAATAACGTATTATGCTGAAATGTCAATAATACTCAATTTTGAGGATTCTGCACTCTGTAAATTACTGGTTAACGAAAACATGATGTAAAGGGGTGGGATAGCCCATCTTAATAGTAGTTTTATTTTCATTTTCAACCCTCATCTGACAAGGAAGAGAAGAGGACCGTAATAAATTATGTTGTAATTAGTTTTTATTTAATTGTTAAATTATTATTCATTTTGAAGATTGTTTTCTAAATTTTGTTTTTTATTATATTATTGTTGCTATTTTTTATATTTTATTTAGCCTGATGATTTTCAAGACGTATAAGATGAGTTCTATTGTAAACCAAATTTGTATATTATATTATTATGATAAAAAATATAAATTTATGAATTAACAATAGCTGAATATCTTTAATTATCTAACTAAACGATGGTAATTTGTTTGGGTCATCCGCTAATATCTGTATAACTCTGTTTTTGAGTAAACGGCTGGAACGGTTTTTAAATTTGATGATTCAATCTTCTGAGCAACCGTATTTAAATAATCCACTAAAATTAAAATAAAAAAAACTGTCGTAGTTAGGGGCCTAATACACCCCCTACGAAACTCAAGACTCTTAAGGATATTGACACGCACTGATACATGAAACAAAATCTATTTGCTAGGAGCTGTAATCTGTGGTGAAAAGCACCACTATTGCAGCAAGTTGAAAAATACGTAGATGTCAATTTCCCTACCAATCTACATTTCCTTGGGATGAATAAAATTTCCCAATTTCTATATTCGAAGTTTTTTTTTAGGTAATACGAGAGTAAAACTTTACGATTCGGATCACAAAAATGTTTTAACCTCAGTCATGAATGCAAAGCTTCCCTTGTGAAAAAGCAGTTTTAACTATTCTTATTTTGGATATTTTTCTTGTTGATTATATTGAACAATTTATAAACTATTCAATCGCTTAGGCAAAACGTTATATAACTGATTAAAACATTTTAAAAAGAAATAGAAGTGCACAACGTTTCAGCGTCATTCAGGTCACATTTATGGGTTTCCTTTATTTTTGTTTTGAAAATAGGTGCCGAAATACTTTCTTGGAGATTTAAATATTATTTTTAAATAATTTAAGCTGCTGAATATGTTTTTTATGTTTGTTTTTGAACATTGTATTTAGTTCCGAATTAAATTTATAGAAATGTTGGAACGTAGAGGGGGATAGAAGAAAAGGTTGAGAGTTTAGAAGGAACTTTTCTAACATCAATTCATTTTACGAATTTATAACACCATACTTTAATTTAGAGGGGCCATGGAAATGCGCAAAGCGTTAAAAAGTGATAAAATAGTTAGAGTCAAAATGCACTTCTCAAACTCCAACTCAATTTAAATATAGGGTGGGGTAGCTGAGCGAGCTAACACTTATACAAAACACGCGTTGCCTGGCAACAAGGTAAACAAAAGTTTACAAGATATAATAATTACGAGTTCACGTACCGGTGCCTTAGGGACTTCAAACTCTGACATTAATTCTCTACCTTCCTCAGTGGAGAAAGTAAGAAAAAAATCTGGATTTATATACAAAACCTATTTTATATAAAGTGATTCTCTTTAAAAAATAATAATAATAAATTTATATATTACGTTTTCAGAACTCCCATATATATGTGCTGACCATTACTTGAATATATTTTTCATAAAATAAAATAAAAAGTATAACATGAGTATAGGTTTCGATAAGAGCTTACGTGACACTACAGGCAGCTATACTCATTGTTTATTAGAGGCGTTTGGTTTCAAAACTGATTACATCAATTTTCAAAAATGCTTTAGAACTGGTCAAAAAAGGTTGTATGGAACCACTTTTGATAGGAAATCGAATATTTTGGTATTGATTTTGGGCAGATCTAAATGGTCTTGAAACAAATACATCTAAGTTTATAAAAATAAACATTTCACACTTGTGAAAAATAAAAAAAATATTTTTTTTAAAATAAATTGATGTAATCTATTTTGAAACCAAACGTCTCATGTGAAACAGTAGTATTTAGTGAGTCGCTCTCTAAGTTTGATTCTAACCATATAATGGTCGGTGTCACAATCAGGACCATGTGCAAATTTAACATCTATTATTGAGGAGCTATGTCTTTTAGATATTAGGACATGATCTATTTGAGTTATTGCGCCATTAGGTACCTTCCATGTCCTAATGAGGGAAGTATGTACTCTTTATTACCATATTATTTGATTCTGCAAATTGACATAGAAATTAATCATTCTTATTTGTCACATTATGTAGGGAATGGGCACCGGCATCAGTTTTAATAATATCCTCTTTTCCAACTTGGGTATTCATATCTCCCATTACTATTTTGGTATCATACATTGGGCTATTCTGGTAAATTCTTTCAAGTTTTTGGTAGAATGCGATTTTTTCATCATCATTACTATCTTGTATGGGGGCATATGCAGATATAACAGTGATGTTTCTAAATTTGCCTTTTAGTAGGATTTTATACATTCTATCACTAATAGGTTCAAATAGCAGAAGGGTATTTCTTAATCGCTTTTAAATTTGAAATCCCATCTCATTTCTGCCAGGTTCTTTTTCTGCTCCACTTGAATAAGGAATACTCTTTTTTTTTCTATCCTTCCTTGGCCGTTTCATCTTATTTCCTGTAGAGCTACTACGTCTACTTTGAATTTTATTATTTGTTCTGCCATTTTTCCTGGCTGTATTTGAACTTTTTATAACTCTTAACTTATTTCTTGAATATTTTTTATATTTTTAATTAATATGCAAACAAAGTTATCAATTAACAAATTTTAAAAATAAATCATGAATCTTTTATTTAAAAAAAAATCCATGCCAAGATTGATCTTGCAAACAATAATGGGTTAAAGGGATAAAAAAAACTTTTAATTGGGTGGAGAAAAAATGTCAGTAAGAAGGGTGATTATGTCTCTGGATGGCCATTTACTTATGTTGATAAATTTCAATTTCTTATTTATGTTTTAAATAATCTTTTAGTTAGATTATGTAATAGAGAGCTCTTCACAGAAGCCATCTAGCAGTTAATTTGTGAATAGACAATGTTGTAATATCAATTTTTTTTTTTCATTGAAGTCAACCTTAACTTTTTGTTCTCTTTTCTCAGACTATTTATATTTACACTTATATACTACAAATTTCATTTTACCTGCATAAATATGGTAAGTAAACAAAATATGAGATAACTCATAGTTGACTTCCTAGGCAATTACACTTACTACTTCATAACTTGCAGTCAGCATTTTAGGCAATAACGTTAACTACTTGATAACTCATAGTTAGCATCCTAGGTAGTTACACTAACTACAAATTATCTAGTTTTGGACAGTAAATTTGTTAAATTAAATTATTTGATAATCATTTGTCCACTTCTTTGATTAATATTTTTAATAATTATTTTAATTGTAGATTACTCCTGAGCCACATTACAGACAAGGCGTTCATAACCCAGAATATGACCATGAAGCTTTTCTAGGTGAAGAAGCTAAAGCATTTAATCAATTAAGCCCTGAAGAAAGTCAGAAGAGATTGCGGTTAGTATAATTACTATAATTATTACCTATTAGTTCTTGTAAAAAAAAAATTAAAATTGAGATGTGCTAGTATCGTTTAGGCTTCAAAATCGTTTGTTATAATTGAATTTATTATCAATAAATTATTATTCAAACTTGAATATATTTGCTATGATAATTTTTTTTTTACCTTTTTAGGCTTATTGTAAAAAAAATTGATAGTGACAAGGATGGATTTGTCACCCATGTTGAACTAAAAGATTGGATTAGATATACTCAACAGAAATACATGAGAGACAATGTTGATCGCACCTGGAATATGCATAATCCTGAAAATAAGGATAAAATAAGCTGGAAAGAATATAGTGAACAAGTTTATGGGTTTATGAAAGGTTAATTTTACAATAAATATAAAAATTACATGAAATTTATTACAAGTTTATATGATATAAAAAATTTATATTATCTACATAAAAGGAATTTGATAGGTTATTTAATAATGATTTATTTATCTTGTGTAATTGTCTTTGAGGCCAAGCTTATTAATAATTGTCTTATGTGTATATCTCCAGAAAATAAATACATTTTTTTATTAACTGTCTACAAAATACTTATCTATGTCTTTTGAATCATAAATTCCATATGATTAAAACTCGGTGCGGATGGTCCTTCTGGAAGGACATTGCATTCTATTCCTATGGGCTGGTGGTCCTTTGGAAAGGAAGCTCTGTGTTCCCCATCCCTTCTTATTTCAGAGTGAATGATTGTAATAAATATTTTCAACTACCATCAGTTACAGTAGCATTCAGTATCGTTTTAGTTTTAAAGGGGTATATTTCATTTTCTTACTGGTCGTCTAAAAGTTGTTGTTTAGGGCTTGGAGATGTAAAATCCTGAAGTCATCAATGCCTATAAAATAAAATATAAAATTTGTTTTGTGAATACAATAATTGATTACAAAAAAATCAATATGAACAATTTTAAAGAAATATGCACCCGTAATAAACACTAATTTTCTTTCCAATTCCAGCGACAAATCATACTTAGAAAACCTTTTTTTCTCTCTTCATCTTTTTATCGTTCCATTTTCTGCTACACATCATACCACAATGTTCGACACTTGGTTGGATCTGTACATTATTGACTCCGCTCAAAATCTCCTTTCCTCTTCCCAATTACCAGTTTCCTTTTTATCGTCGCATGACCTAATCCAAGTATCCTATAATGTCCAAACTCCTCCGATCCTAAACTAGAACCATAACTTTCTGTAACCTTAAAAGCCTTACTCGGGAAAAAAATATTACCTTCCCTGGAATCCCTAGATTGGAATAGAATATATTCCTGTTCCTCAATTGATTCTATGGCTGACATTCTCACCTCCAGTCTTAATAATATCCTTGATGACCATGCCCCTCTCAAAACTTCCACCCTGTCGCCTTCCTGCTCGTTGGATGTGTCAGAAAATTAAGGATCTTCAGAAGAGGCGTGATGCTGCCCGTAGAAGCTTTAGATTTATTAGGCTAGCTGACGACTATTAAGCGTTTAGGAAGCTCCGCAACCTGACACAAACCACAATCCGACGAGCCAAATCTATCTATTTCCATGAAGCCCTTTCATCAGCTCCCGATTCCAAATCCAAATGGCTACTCCTTCATAAACTCTCCCTTTGTGAACCTTCCAGATCCCCTCCCTCTGCAGTGCTACCAGTTTCACCAGATGATTTAAATTCTTATTTTATACCTGCTTCCTCTTCAACTCCTCCATTTACCTCTTCCTTCTTTTCTCCTGAAACATCTTTCAATAATGACGACTTTTACTTTTCAAATATTTCTCCCACAGACCTCATATCAGCTGTGATGAAATCATACTCTAATTCTAGTGGTCCAGATGGCATTCCCGTCAAATTAATCAAATTATACCTCCCTGAAATCCTTCCGGTACTCCTTTTCATCTATAATTTCTTCCTTCAAAATTCAGTATTCCCTTCTTTGTGGAAAAAGCCACGGTCTGTCCTTAAAATAAAAATTCTAACTCGTCTTCCCCTGAAGATTTCTGGCCAATCTCAATCCTTTCTAACCTTTTGAAACCCCTGGAGAGGAGATAATAGTGCAATCTCAAGTTTCCAACTTCCTAGAACAGTCCAATCGACTTAACCCTTACCAATCTGGTTTCCAACCAGGTTACTCCACACAGTCTGCCCTAATCGAAATCATTAATGACGTTCAGTCCACCGTAGATGACAAAAAACTAACTGTCCTTATACTCTTTGACTTTTCCAAAGCCTTTGATACCATTAACCATTCCATTCTCTTTTCCAAATTAAAATCATTAGCCTTTTCCAATAGTTCTATCCTGCGGTTTCAGTCTTTCCTCTCTCAACGCTCACAAGCTGTCACTATCCCTAATCAACCTTTGTCTTTCTATCTTACTCTGTCCTCAGGAGTGGCCCAGAGCTCTAGCATATCTCCTCTTCTTTTTAGTTCTTGTTATCAGCTACATCTATAAATCAATCCTTCACTGCTCCCATCACCTCTACGCTGATGATTCCCAAATTTACTCCCCCTCCTCCCAATAAAAATAGAAATGAGGCGAGAATATTGTTTTGCCCATATTGACAACTGTATGAACAAAGTTTCCAAAAGAAAATTTTAAAATGCCTATCATTGTTGTTTCTATTGTGCTATCGAGATCAGTGTGTTTCATACCTTCCTCCTAACAGTTTTGCTAAGAATAAGTTGAATATTTATGTTACCTTATTTTTATAGTTAAATAAAAATTTAGAATTTTTCTGTGGTATGTCCATTACTGTTACTGACCTCCTATCTATTACCAGAACAAATGAAGTTCGTTCACCCTAATTATGTTTGAATATAAAAACAATTTCAAGAATAGGAACACTAGTGCAAAAAGATGTGTTTTTTTTAAATGGAGATTATACATCTCCATTTTGAAGTGCTAAATAGAAAAAGGAGACCTTAAAGATACTAAATGTCCAACGGAGAAGTTTATATGTAGCAATATATCCTTGGATTTTATGATTCATTCATGAGAACCTTTCCATTTTTTACTTGAACATTTCCTGTGGCAAATTTGAAGCATTGGATAATTGAGAGTTCTTCTCACTGCCTCAAATCTTTAAATAAAAATAAAAATATGTGATATATTCAATTTCTCTGTTAACATATCTTCAAATATACCCACACGCAAAAAAAAAATTATATTGCTTGTTTATTATGATTTGCTTGATTGTGTTAATTATCGCTCATAATTTTTATACTTAATATAAACTCTTGAGATTTTTTTTGGGAGGAGGGTCCATTGCCCTCCCTTCCCCCACCAACCAGTATGGAAAGTCTGCACCTATAATAATATTATGTTTATAAACTATCTTTCAGATATGGATCCTAAGGAATTATCGAAAGACCAGGAAGGAATGACTTACAAAAGTCTCTATGAGCGTGATAGGCGCAGATGGATCAATGCTGACACAAATGGAGATGACTTATTGGTTAAAGACGAGTTTTTGGCTTTTCTGCATCCTGAAGAAATACCAAAAATGAAAGACTTAGTTGTTTTAGAAGCATTAGAAGATATTGATAAAGATAAAGATGGAAAAATTTCTTTAAGTGAATATATAGGTAAGAAACAAGCATTATATTTTTAATTATAATTCATCTTAATATCGCAACAGTTAGTTATGTGAAATTGATAAACTTTTGATTTTATATTTTGTAACTTTATTTTCTTTAGCAAATTTAATGAAATACATTGCTACATTGTAAGAAAACCTACACAAAGCAAAAATTAAATTTGTCCAAATTCTGCTCAATTAAAGTCATCTTGATGATAATGATTAGGCAAATATGAAAAATCATGAAGCCCAATATTAAAGATAAACTTCTAATCAGCCCATCACTCCTTGTCATTAACAGCACAGATTAAGAATTAGCATATATATTAAAATATTAGTATATTTTTAAGGCTTATATTTCCAACTAAACGATTTCTGATGATTTCTTGATAAAAAATGTCTCCCCTTCATATGGTATATGTTTCAAAGAAATACAAGAATTTTAATGTAAAAAAAAAGTAGATAAGTAGAGAAGTTGGTTAGAAATGCAGTATTGATTGTTATATTGATTTTACTTAGCCCTGATAAGATCAAAAAGTCAGAACAAATTAAAATGATGTTTTTATTTGTTTTATTTCATCACCAACCACACCACCAACCAACCAACTTCTACAATTAGTTCTACATTCAGCACTACCTTCTCTATTATAAATCTTGTTATATATGAAATTATAATAAATACATTTTTTTGCGATTCTAGGTGATATGTACCAATCTGAAAACGGGGATGAAAAACCTCAATGGGTTGAAGATGAGATAGAACATTTTACAAAACAACGGGACAAGGATGGAGATGGATTTTTGGATGAAAATGAAGTTAGCATTACTGATTGATTATTTTATATCACTGTGGTGACCTGCGTTATTAAATAGTTCAATATTTGAGAAAAAATAATTTAATATTTTTTTTGTTCCTAGAATAAAAATTTACAATCAATTAAATCATGCATTTTTTTCAAAAGAATCAAGAGGATTAAATGATAAATTTAACAGCTTATTATAAAGTATAACTTTATTTTGCTCAATAGTGTGTAACAAAAGTTTCTACCTGGGATTGTTTGCAACCATACTCCGAATTCAGTTGTGCTAAAGCTTTGAAGCCCTCTTAGAGAATACATTTTTAGCTTGGTTTAATAACAACTGATTTTATTAATCTATAAGAATTACAATGGTATTAGATAATAAAATACATTAATAAGAACAATATAAATAAACAGATACAAACCTGTAAGAATTAATTAAATTACACATTATTATTTATGCGTTAACAAACACAACAACTTGTAACCAACAATATAACTGTCTGTCCAATACAAGCTGGTGTTTACACATTTAAAGAGAATGAGAGACAATGAATCACCTTGCTTAATCTATATTATAATGATGAAGCCTTTTTTTTATTATGGGACATCTTCCTTTTTAATTTAAATTGACTCAGATTTAATTTTCTTTGATCAAAAAACTTAATGATTTTGGTAGGCCATTATTTGAAGAAATTAAATCAATCATAATGTTATGTTAATGTTTGTTGGAATAATCCAATTTATCTGTTACAGTAATGCAATATTTAATAATTAGTTTATTTTATTTTGTTATTTAAAATTTTAATTTAATTTAGTAAAATATTACTTCTATGTACATGCCTGATGATTAGTTCATAGTAGCATAATGTTTTAAAGCCTTGAAACATGGATTTTATTTTCAGTAATCTTGAAATATTTGATTAAAGGGTGTGTAGCCTGTATATGCTTTTTCATTTGGAAAATAATTAAGATTATAAATTTGTAAGAATTATTTAAAAAAGATTATCATATAGAATTTTATGGGCTAAAATATTTTCACATTATTATTTATTATTATACTAATCACACTAAAATTAAAAAAAAAAAAAAGATATATGCATAAAACAGCAAAATTCCAGAACTTTTTTTTAATGAAGAGAAGAATAGTTGGGGTGTTCAGTCAAAAAGGAAGGCAAAATGAATGAAAATATTTATTTTTTACATATGCCGACGTTTCGACCTGAAGTTCAGGCCTTCATCAGGGCTAAGAAAATAACCAGATAACAACGTTAGAGAAACATAAGTAATGATGGTAAAAAAAATAAAAAAATAAAATAAAAAATTATTAGAAAAATAAAATAGATAAATATAAAGTAAAATGAAATTGTTAGAATAATGACTAAGAACTAAGAGATAAATAATAAAAACCGTTACAAAGTGTGGAATGATGAAGTAGGCATAATCAAAAAAGGGGTGACAAAAGTGTTACAATGGGAATCTTAGAATAAAATGTAAAACATAAAAAGGAAATATAAAGATAAAATGAAATATAACTTTATATTTCCTTTTTATGTTTTACATTTTATTCTAAGATTCCCATTGTAACACTTTTGTCACCCCTTTTTTGATTATGCCTACTTCATCATTCCACACTTTGTAACGGTTTTTATTATTTATCTCTTAGTTCTTAGTCATTATTCTAACAATTTCATTTTACTTTATATTTATCTATTTTATTTTTCTAATAATTTTTTATTTTATTTTTTTATTTTTTATTATTTTTTTTACCATCATTACTTATGTTTCTCTAACCTTGTTATCTGGTTATTTTCTTAGCCCTGATGAAGGCCTGAACTTCAGGTCGAAACGTCGGCATATGTAAAAAATAAATATTGTCATTCATTTTGCCTTCCTTTTTGACTGAACACCCCAACTATTCTTCTCTTCATTATCCACGACAGTCAACCAATTACCAATTAAGAACTTTTTTTAGTTTTGTGGAACAAAATGTGCTTCAAAGTCCTAGCGGTTCAACGACATTTCGCCTACGCGCATATTACGACTCCACATAAGCTTGAATTAAATTTAAAGTGCATCGAAATTCTTATTGAGCTTGGGTATAATCATTAATATATGAAAAAGTTAAAAAGCCATTAGAGCGATCGGACTTTAATTTTGGTCCTTAATTTTTTTATTATGAATGTTGATGTCTCTTATACTAACAGAATATGAGGTGGTCTGAAATTTTTCCAATGTAACAAAAATACAAAACATTTTTTTTTTCGACATAGTCTCCTTGTAACTCTGCACTCTTCTTCCGGCGATGTTCACATCTCTTTAACCCGTACAAAAAGTACAAAGGTGATTACCTCTTAATTTGATAAAAATCTCTGTCCGCCTAGCGTAAGATCAGTGAATAATGTGGATGGTCAAGCAGTTCAAACCGTAATTAGTGAATTTTTGCCATGGTAACCGCTGAGGTGTGAGACGATTTGTTGTTTTGGTGGTTTTCTTTTTCTGCAAATGTGACCGTTTTTCTCTAAGTTCTGCCTTCAACTCTGCAGTAATGATGCGTAGTATGCTCCTGTAATGTTTTTTTCTTTGAAGATACTAGATTAAAATAACTCCATGATTATCCCAAAATACAGTCATCATCACTTTTCCAGCCGAGAAAACAGTTATTGCTTTTCTTCTAGCCGGTTCCCCCTTTGCAGTCCACTGTTTGGACTGTATTTTTGTTTTTGGCATATAATGGTGTATCCAAGTTTCATCTACAGTAATGAACCCAAAATGACGCAAACTAGAGAAAAATCACCTACTTCAAAAAGAATAAATGTTCCTGAAAAATAAAACTAGAATCTGCTTGCAATCTTTTTTTGTTTGCCCTTGAGCGCACTAAAGATCGATGATGTCAAAATCATCAAATTTGTTCAGTTGAGTCGTAGTTGGATGGGAAAAAATTCAAATAGTTGGTTTCTCTTCGATTTATAATTTTTTTTTGGATGCTGAATCAGCATTTGATGTTCCCGAGCGAAATTTTACATTGTGTTCTGAGATATATGTAAAAGCAGGGAAATTTCAGAACTGTTTTTAGTTTTTTGGACATGACTCTGAAACTATGCATTCTATCAAAATTAATACTATTACAAAGTTAAAGAAGATAAAATCTACCATCAATTTTGATCCATAGCTTTTTGATATAGGACCGATGGTTGAGGAGTTAAGGCATGTTGACTGGTTGCTTATCTCAGTAGCTTGGGAGATGATGAACGTTCGGGACGTCCAAAAACAGTAACTATCAAAGAAAACATCACCAAATAGTGCTAGATGACCGCCGAATTAAAGTGAGAGAGATAGCAGAGGTTATGAACATGTCAAAAGATCGCGTTTGTTACATATTAAATCAACATTTAGATATGAGAAAGCTGACCGCAGGTTGGGTGCCGCATTTGCTCACGTTAGACCAAAAATGTGTTTGAATCCGAGTTTTGAGAGATCCGTAGATTAAGAGTTTTGAGGGAAAAACTGACGAAAACAGATATCTCTTGTGAGATAAGCAACCAGTCAACATGCCTTAACTCCTCAACCATCTGTCCAATATCAAAAAGCTATGGATAAAATTGATAGTAGATTTTATCTTCTTTAACTTTGTAATAGTATTAATTTTGATAGAATGCATAGTTTTAGAGTCAGGTCCAAATAACTAAAAAAAGTTCTGAAATTTCCCTGTTTTTACATATATCTCAGAACACAATGTAAAATTTTGTTCGGGAACATCAAATGCTGATTCAGCATCCAAAAAAAATTTATAAATCGAAGAGAAACCAAATATTTGAATTTTTTCCCATCCAACTACCACTCAACTGAACAAATTTGATGATTTTGACATCATCGATCTTTAGTGCGCTCAAGGCCAAACAAAAAAAGATTGCAAGCAGATTCTAGTTTTATTTTTCAGGAACATTTATTATTTTTGATGTAGGTGATTTTTCTCTAGTTTGCGTCATTTTGGATTAAAATGAAAAACTGAAACTTCCAAAATTTTATATTTTTTTGCCACTTTTATGGTGAGGCTATATCCGAATCTAGTGGATAATTGATTTTCAGATTTAGCACCCCAAAAAACATACAGAGCCATCGAGAAAAATTCTTCAGGAATTTTTACTCTATCAACTACTTTCCATCACCAAATGACTGGACTAATTCTTATGTTTTCTAATTAAAAAAATTTATAATTTTCCTGTTATGAAATGGTTTATTTTATTACAAGATAAATTAAATATTGTTTGAGTTTAATTTTTATCATTATAAACGTAATAATAACAGTTTCATTGTTTAGTCAGTTGTTGGTAATAAAATATACTATTGTTTATAGGTAAAAGACTGGATTGTTCCTCAGGGCTTTGACCATGCTGACGCAGAAGCCCGACATCTCATTTTTGAAGCTGATGAAAACCAAGACCAAAAATTGACTGAAGAGGAAATTATTGACAAATATGATGTTTTTGTGGGTTCTCAAGCCACTGATTTTGGTGAAGTTTTGCTTCGACATGATGAATTTTAATTTTTTTATTGTATCATGATGTTACTTATTTATATATAAAAATGATCTTATTTTAGAGTATTTAATTTTAAATTATTGCATATTGTTTTATGGTTAGAGATAATCATCTCCCAATAAAAAGTTTAGTTTTATAAATACTTTTAATTAAATGCTTAATTAATAAGTATTTAAATTAAATAACTTTGATATTAATTTTGTACTTTAATTATTTAATATTGGCTTTCAGTCATTATTAGGGGTTATAAACTCCTATTAAAGAAATCTCAGTTGAGAGACATTTTATAAATTAATTAACAACTTATTTTTATTTTATAAGAATATGATGGCTAAAATTATTCAATAGTGGCTATCAATGATGAAGATGATTGAAACTTAATCTCATTACATTATTGTTAAAAAATAAGTATTATATTTTGATTTATATGCCAAAATAAATATATATTTATGTCAATTAGTGAATTCCTTTACCCTGAGTTCTATCAGAATGATATTGATGAAAATATTTATCTAGTTTTTGGATATAGTTTATTAAAGAATAATTTACACTCATTTTAATCAGTTGGATTCACTTTCATTTGCATGCTACATGCATTATACTATTCTTACTCATTAAATTCTCTCTACTTTACCTAGTAAGTTGAAAAATAATGAATGCTTTTCTTAACACTGGTTGCTTTGTTAAGTAAACTTTTTATGTTTATGAAAATAAAAATTAATATTTAATGGTATATGGTGGTTGAGTGATAACTTAAAAAGGAACTAATTTCTTATTCAGAATATTTTTTATTGGTTGATTATTTGCTATAGTGGATACAGGCTGAAAATATAATTTATTAAAAAAAAATTAAATGTAAACATATAATAAGCCATCAGAATACAATAATAAATAAATTAAAATGAATCCAATTGAAAAACTAAAATATAAAACCATAATAAAATGATGTTCATGAATGAACCCAATCAAATATGAAAATAATTTTAATACATAATTATATAAGGTTGATATATTAATATTTCCTAACATAATAATATTTAAGGAAATTAAATTTTAGAACATTCTACAAAATTAAATCAATCCACTCTTTTTTACTTTCCTACCTATACTAGGTTAAGTAAAGTATTGCGATTGGGTCAAATTTTATAAACTTTATTTTGTAGAGTTTTGACTACTGATGCCTGTGCCATAAATTGAGTACTCCATGTGCCATAAATTAAAAACATGTTTTTCTATAGACTGTAGCACGAAAACGGCTCTAACGATTTTGATGAAATATTCCTATAATGTTCTAAAAATTGTCCTTTCAATTTTCGAACATGGACTAAATTCCCGAGAAAATTCAGGAAAAAAATTATAAAGAAGAAAAGGGAAATATTTTGGTGCCTAACTGGCTAAGTATATTTTTTATGGTAAAATTTATAATAAAACTTTTTAAAGGTAATTAAATTACCAGCAAAACAAAAAACAATCATCTGAATCGAACAAGTATTAACGATAATACAACTTATTCTATTTTCTACACATGTTTTAATTTATTACTTTCCTGTCTATACTAGGTAAGGAAAGTATTGCGATCGGGTTAAATTTCCAATATGCGGTTTTCGACAGCTCTATACATTTCAGAGACTCCTGTGTTAAAAAAAAAACTCGATTTAGCCTGTTTTTTTTTAAAGATGGTGAAATTCCCTACAAAACTATATAAAAATTGTTCATTTTGGACAACTATTAACAAAGTTACAGCTATTCAATTTCCAATGTAAGATTACATTGGATTACAAGGTTTTAAACAGGGTACTTAAAACCTCTCTCAACACCCAGAAGTATATACAGCAGTGTATAGCAGGGAGACCCTTAATCATAATATTGAAAGTGGTTTGAATTATAAGGAACAGCCTTTTCTATCTATCATTAATAGCTTTAAGTCCCTCAGTACTCTTAGCTAGAGCCATCTTCTAAGTTGTTAAAAAAACAAAATTTCAAAATTAAATTTTAATAGCTGAAGGCAAAACCAATTTTCTTCAAAATAAATGCAAAGTTCAGTGAAGCAGGCCAAGACAAGCAAGGATAAATGTATGGATCAACGTAAGAACCAACGAAGTCAATTAAATCCAGCAAGTCACTATGCCTTATTTCCTAAAAATTCCTGGAAACAGCTTGACTTCCTCAAATACGTGACGAAAGCATAAGAAACGACATAAAATATATTTTTAAAAACTAATCAATAGAAGATATACAAATATTAGCCCGAAAATATGCGATTATTTCACAAAAACAAATCAATTTTTAATACTCTGGCACCCCCAAATACGCAACAAAGCAAGAACCTACATAAGATATATTTTTAAAAAACGAATTAATAGGCGAAATACCAATATTAGCCCGTAAATAGATGATTTTTACAAAAACTCTCATAACCTACCAACCAATTTTCCTCCTTTACGACAAAGCATCGCTAATTTGGCAAAAAATATATATATATAATTGTGCCCGGTGGACCATAATGTTTAGGAAACTTTCCAAATTTAATTAAAGTAAATGCAAATAACTCTAATGAGTTCAACCTAGGCAACATTCGACTTATTTTGGCAGTGGACTGTATATTGATTTAAGTGGTAGGTTATATGAATTATGTAAAATAAACACACCCTTTTATACTGGTAGCTGATGGCATAGACATCTTACTTAACTGAGAGGGCCTTCCAGTCTGCTCTAGTTGCTGTCTCTGGGAAACTGCCTAGCAATGGGCTGAGAGCGTCTCGTAGCTGGCGCGGATTATATTTTATTTTTTAGATCATATCTGATCTGTTTTCACTACTCGGGTGATCTGGCATAATGCTTTCACACAAAACATAAACAATGGCCCGATTTCCAGCAGAAAAGTAGGAAATTTAAGATTTGTGTTTTTTAAGCAAGTCGCGTGTTTTGTTGAATAGGAAGCGATAACTTAAAAAATATTTGATTCAAGTGACTAAACATTGCTCCATAGTAAACAAGACAAAATTTACATTAAACGAAAGTAGAATTTGTCATTGTTAAAACTATTCAAGGAGGACTATTGGCCGTACAAACACAGCTAAGTTCCGTTTAGAAATAAGTCATAAATTATTTATTTTTTTTTATCACTCCTTAGCTATACTACATTTACCCCACTTTTAGAAAACCTTCCTCGTTTAATAAGCTTAAAGTCCATAATAATCTTCCAAGCTGAGATCTATTAAGAAAAATTTTGAGATTCACCTCAAGTAATGTAAAGAAATGATGGGATTTCCGATCCAGTCACCTTAAAGTACCCTTGTTTTCTGCAAAAATAACTATTAATAAGCTTTTATTTCTTATTTTGCCAGGATATGAGATGTATTGTAATAAACATAATTGCCTAAAAACACATTTTATTTATAAATACGAATAATTTAAAAAAAAAATATTTTAAAAATATTTTTCTCATAAAGTGGTTATGAAACTATATCGTAGACCATATACAATTACAGTTGCTTCGGTCTGTTCTATGTTTTCCCTTAGTCCCTTAGTCCGAAAATTCATAACCCCGTCAAAATATGCCCCCCTCAAAGATTTTGATGGCGCAACTTGCGCACCTCTGAGGTCATCACTGTCAATAAACGTAAACGAGTGATTATCGGTAATATTACCATAAAAAGCACATCCATTTATCCAGTAATGAGCCTCAATATTGAAGAAATGCGATATGCTAAAATATATCCACAACCAAACGAGATATCTTAAGTACGATAGTATTTTCGAAAACTAGGTCTCGGATAACATAATAATGGAATGTTATATCTAATAAATCCGAAAAGTTAACTGAATCAAAACATGATTACGCAATCTTAAAATCTTTTTTTTTTTTTTTTAAGAAGTACTCCGGTTAGTTCAAAATTGGACCTCAATATCGAATAAATCCGAAAAAGTAAAATAGATAAATAAGCGATTGCGTAAACCTAAAATCGATACATTTTTTTCATAAAAAGCTCCTCTGATATCATAATGGACCCTTATAACGAAGAAATAAAAAAATAAAAAATAAATCTATATACAACTGCACAATTTTAAATTTGATATTTTCATATCATAAAAAGCGGCTCTAAATAAAATACTACAAAACAAGGCCCAGAAAAAACCACTACATCTCGTTTGTTGATTTTAAAAAAGCGTACGACTCAGTGGATAGAAAGACACTGCTGGAAATACTGAGAGAATACGGAGTGGACCAGAAGACCAGGAAACTAATAAAAATAACACTAACTGACACCGAATCCAAGGTAAGATTCAGAGGAACCACCAGCAAATCTTTCCGGATAAGGACGGGACTCAGACAAGGAGACGGTCTCTCCCCAACACTGTTCAACGTGGTACTAGATAGGATAATGAAGGAATTGTGGAAAACCAATGCTGTGGGTGCAAGTATAGGGACCAAAAACAACCACGTCAAGGTAAGGTGTCTTGCCTACGCAGACGATCTTGCACTTTTAGCGGAAACGGAAGAAGAGGCAATTGACCAAATAAATACACTGGCGGAAATAGCCAAAAAAGCGGGTCTCCAAATCTCCTACGAAAAAACAAAATTAATGACCACAGACGCAGACTTCAAGAAAAAAACAGTGGAAACCAAATACGGGTCAATAAATGTAACAAATAAATTTAAATACCTGGGTGAGACTATATGTAATAATGGTTCGGAAAAAGAAAGTATCAAGGAAAGAATAGCCAAATTGGAAAAACTAACTTTTGCAACCAATAACATATACAACAAGAGAAACCTGTCCAAGGAAGCGAAAATACGACACTACAATACAGTTGTTAAACCTGTGATACTATACGGGACGGAAACCACATGCCTCCCCATTATGGAAAAATTGTTGAGAATAGAGCGAAGAATTCTAAGAAGGATTTACGGCCCCAAAAAGACAAAAGAAGGATACAGGCTAAGATCCAATCAGGAAATATACAAGGACAAAAGAGATCTAGAAACGGAAATTAGGATCAGGAGACTGAAATTCCACGGGCATATGGTAAGAATGGCCCCAGAAAGACTTAACAAGGAAATATTCCAAAAAATCCGTAGATACAAAAGCATGGGAGGATACATCAGGCAGATGAAGGAAGAAACGGAAAGACTTGGAATAACGGACCGGGACTGTCTGGACAGAGAGGGGTATGGTAAGAGACTAAAGGAGATCACGGTTCTTGCTAAGAAGAAAAGTTCGAGAAAGGGAGTCGTGTGGACGGAGGAGAGAAAGCGGCGGCACTCGGAGATAATGAGAGAGAAGTGGAAAGAAAGGAAAAACAAGAAAGAAGCCAAATTCATGATATTCACGTGGTCTCTATGGCCGTTCCGTGAAGAAAAAAAAAAAAAAAAAAAAAAAAGACAAGCGGCTTTGATTACAAAATAATGAATCTTAATTTACAAGATAGCCTTACATTGATGATAATGTATTAATTTTGGGCAATTTTCCTGAGTCAATCTCTATAACGCTTATAGAATCAATGGATCTTCTCTCAGACTGGTAGGCTGGATTATGGACTTGGAATTAATCCTCAGAAGTTTTTTATTTGTGTCTTCGCCAACAAGTATATTATAATAATTAGACCGCCAACCTTGAACGGAAATCGAGTTAAGATTTGTAGTTTTTTTTTATTTTCTTTATTTTCAGATCGGCTTACTAATGGGTATATTAACTATTATTAAATTTTGAACATTTGGCTAAGTGGAGAGTATAGTCTCATACAAAAGACACCCCAACGGCTATGGACTATGGACTATTGAAGTTAAGGTTGTAGAATAAATGAATAATGATACAATAAATAAAATAAATAATAATAAAAATTTTAGAAATAAAATAAAATATAAATAAATAATAAAAAGTTCAGAATTAGAAAGTTTTGCAAAAGTCTGGGTTTCAGTCTATGGGATTATATCGGAGTTCGTTTGTTGAAAGCTGTTGCACCTGTAACTGGGAATGTATAGTAAAGCGTTTTTAAATGAATTCATCTATTGTTTCTATCCGAAGCTCACGATGAATATGGCTTCTTTCTTCTAAACCAAGGGAGGGACATCTACTGCAATTCTCAGGATCTTATTTTGGAAGGTTTGCCGCACCCCATACTTCACAACCGTACATCGTTACAGTACAAGGCTACTGCCTTATAATTGTTTTGTATACTAAGATGGTTATTTCTGTTGATGATGGGATATAACACTGCCAATCTATCGTAGGCTAAGATTTCTAGTGAAGTTAAGCACCCACGGATCACCCTCGATTGTAAATTGAAATGGTACATCCCTACAGAAAAACGCATCAATGTCTTTGGGCTTGTAAAAGAACTGTGAGTAAATCCTGTAATATACTTCCAAAATGGTTCCGTAATCCAAGGAATGGCCCTGGGAAAACCTACAAGACGACTGGAAAAATCAGGACTAACATCTCTCTTATCAGGTACCTGTAAATATTAAATTGTATTCCATGGACACACCAAAATATTAATATATATTCTGTATTTGTGCCTTGTTCTAAAGGGACACTAGTCCCAATATAATAAAATTATTTTCATTCATTCATTCATTCATCAGGTAAGTTAATTGATCTCAACCAATCACTAGCGGATCCAGGATTTAGTTTTTTGGGGAGGGGCTTCAGCACGAAAGATTTTTAAAAAATAATATATAACGATAATTACTTAGGAAGAAAAAGAAAGGAACGAACTTCCTATATGAAATAGAGTTGAAGTGATTCTTTAAGTACTATTAACTGTAATAACACGAACAATAATACTTTTAGTAGTAATTATTAAATTTTTTTTCATAAGAAATGGTTATATTTTACCATTTTTGGGAGATTCAGCCCGAAAGCCCCCCCCCCTTCCCTGTAGATCCGCCCGTGCAACCAACAGCAACGGAGCTCCCCTCTCTGCAATTTACACCTCCTTGGTTTTCAATGCCAAAAGTGTTTATATTGAACTACTCCATACTAAACGGTACAAAATAATGTTTGTAAACTAAGCGAAAACGTATGCCTTTAAATGTAGTAAACATCTAAATATCAGCTTTTTTTTTGATCAGCTAATTTTTAAAAAATGCCATGGATTTCTGGCAACCTAATCCTAATGCTGAACCATTTATACCAAAGCGTGAGCTTAATAAAAACATTAAGAGTCAATTTAGAGCCAAACTTTTTAAAAACCGGTTCATTAATCGTATTTTTCAGGTTTGTTATCCACCTTTAATTACAGGATTGTTACTTATCTTTGGCTTTAGAAAGTTTGGTAGTCAATTGCTCCGATGCTCATATTCCTTTTCTTTTTACTGTCTATTAAACTTTAATCTAACAATGCACTTTTTTTAAATTCTCCTTACCACCTAGTATAAAAATCTGTATCATGACATTTTAATATTAGCTGCACCCATTAATTTGATTTAGCTATTTGGCATGTTATTGTAATATTCTTGAAATAGTATGCATTAATTTTTTTTTGTTTTTGTGTTTATTAATTCAATTTATTTAGAAAAAAAATAAAACTATCATTTTTTAAAATGGTCATTATCAATTAATACCACTTGTTTAAAAGTTATTTCACATTTTTATCCGAAGTTCCTCTTATTTCGATTGAATCATTTCAAGATTTCAATCATATAATAATGAGCAATCATTAAAAGCTTCTTGAATATGAAAATTTCTTAGCAATATACCTGAAGTTTTTCATAGTTTCAATACAAATTAAATGTATTGGCTTGGCTTTTATAGCCAAGATCCTAAAAATTAATACAAAATGTATTTAATATTTTATTTGATACTATAGATGGTTCCATACATCCTAAAATGTGATAACTGATAATATGAAATTGTAGAGTAAAGAGTATATCACATGGTATAGCCCCCTTTTTTATTTGATTTTTATTCTGCTTTGTTTTTTATTTTTCATCAGTAATTATAATGAGAATATGTTTTAAAAAATATGTGCTGAAAATTTAGCATTTAAAATAATAACAGTCTTGAATGGAAAAACTAGAATGTTCCCTTTCTCATTCAAAAGTAAATTAGTTTTTAAAAAATCGACCTTTTTTTAGTTTTCCAAAAGATGTACCCCTATCCTCCCTCCTAAAGAAAGATAGAGTACATTTGGACGAATCTCCTGAAATATCCCGTTTGAAAGGTGTGGAATCATTTTCCCATCTGGGTCAGTTATTATTTGAACTGAATATAATCTTGAAACTCCTACTCTTATTTACACAGAGTGAAACCTCAAGGTAGCCATCACGATTGGGTAAAAAAGGACCACAAGACCCCACTCCTCCTGTTAAAATATTATTTCCCCTTACCAATTCCAGTACTTATATCCTTCTATTATTGACCCAATAGTTTAAGAAATAAATATTTTGGACCATAGGATTATGATAGATACTTTTTCTTCAACTTAACTTGGATAGACACTTTTAAAACTTAATAGCATTGATTTATATGGTGTCTGCCATGATACGTCCTTACTACCTATGCTGATGACAAGTGTGTGTTGTCTGCCAATAATGAACCAACTATTGCATCACATACCCTGCAGTCACACATTTCAGCCATTGAAAAATGATGTGCCAATTGGAGAATTGAAATTAATCCCAACAAATTACTTTTACCCTTCACCGTAAACCTACAACATTCTGTCCCACCGTATCCTTTAACAATATGCTAGTGATCCCTGTTGAACAGATCCGTTACCTAGGACTTTTTCTTGACAAACGCCTTACCTGGAATCCTTATACTAGACTTAAAAGACAAGAACCCGCCAACAGATTCCGACTACTACAACACATACTTGACAAACGCTCTAAACTTCCAATATTCTACAAAAAAACTCATTTACTCACTACCATCATCAGGCCCATTTGGACATACGGTATTGAGCTTTGGGGCTCTACAAAAACATCAAATTCTTCCCATATCCAATCCTTACAATCCAAAATCCTCTGTAAAATCCTAAATGCTCCTTATTATGTAACAACTAGAATTGTCTATGAAGACCTCAACATTCCTCTTGTGGAATACTTCGCCTGAACTAGATAAACCTCTTTTCATTCCAAACTCTTATGTCATCCCAATCCTCTAGTTTGTAACCTTCCACCCAACACAATGCCTGACAACCCTCTGAGGCATCTGAAAAGAAGATGGCCAAGAAACCTTCTAAATAAATTTATCTTTGAAGTGTTACCAATGGGTAGCTTCTTCACAAGTACCTTTGTGTAATATATTCCTATAGCAAGTTTACTGGTTGTATATATTTATACAGTTGTAAATTTCAATAAAATAATAATAAAAAAAAAATTGGGTGCACTAGTCAATCACAATAAGCCTCAACAACCTCATATAAAACAGTGCAGGGGATGGTACCTCTTGACCTTCTCCTGCGAGAGGATCTGACCAAACAAAAGTTTAAGAAAGAAAGCTTGGTAGGAGTTATGGAAAATCTTCATTTGATAATTGTGGAAACCTCAATAAATGGAAGAAGAAAATCCAGAGAATATTATTTGGAAATGGAGTTATCTGTGGATAACTGGCCTGAACTACCCTGAAGGGAAGTTCCTTTAGAAAATACTTTCTCACCGTACAAATCAGCTAGAGGCACAAACAGTCCTTCTGAGCAATTGGGTTTCACAATTTCTAATAGGGCATTGAGGTTTTCTAGCCAAGCTGCATAGCCTTGGTCTGGACATAAGTGTCTAATACAGTGGTATTCTGAAGCTTTTCCAGCTTGTAGTCACAACCTCAGCTGCATTATGGATTAAGAGACACATTGATGAGAATCATGGGAATTTACCTCCTCATAGGACCAGCACTAGGAAGGTTGCTGAAAGACAGAAATCACCCTTATATCACTATAGATCACTTAAGATTTAAGAAACAATCACTGGGAAATTCTACGATATTTTACTTGAAGTAGCGTGGTGTTATACAGTCCTGTATAACACTCCTTTACTGGAAACACTCATGTTGGCTAATAGGCAGAGGATGGTGGCACTTAAATAAATATGCCAATCACAATAGATAAAACAAGTTTGATAATGCAACCTACTTTAACTTGGAGAAATTTTTTTTTTTTTGGTTGGGGCTATAGACCATGATGATGGGCAGTAACCCAGCAAAGTACTTACCATACTTGGCATTACTATCTTTTGATTACCTATTACAAGCTCCTTAACCACTTGGCTATCCCAGCCACAAGTTGAAAGAACTAATGTAATTTCATCCAAAGAAGATTAAAGATATAAAGTAATAGCAATAAAGAATATCTTATTAGTTGAAAAGAAAGAAAAAAATACTTTTATGAAGTTGCAGTAAATGTGTGATAAATTATTACTGTTTGTTTCTTTATTTTATCTTATATAAAAACAAACTGCTTGTATTCCTGTCTCTATGGTCTAATAATCCTTTAAATATTTGTAAATTACAATGTTGAAATTACTTCCTATATACTAAATTTTGTCTCATATCTAATTACTGATTTTATTGAAACAAAAAACATTGAACAACACATTAAGAGTTTTGAGTCCAGTAACTGGTAAGAACCTACTGTTTCTTGACAGACTGTTATTCACCATCCAAGAAGCACTGTCCTTTATCTCTGACCCAACAAAGGGCCAAATATGCAATTTATGGAGGTTAGGAGGTTCTGACGCAGAAGTCAATTGATGGATGATTTATCTGAAAATTAATTTTGTACTGGCATCTGAAACCAGAAATGTAGTTTAGTTAAATAGTAGTATAGAGTTGAGTGCAATGAGCCACCCTGCTATACACACTACTAAACAAAATCTACTTGAACCACAACTAAATCCATCATGGCATTAATACTAAAAACACATTATGGAACTTCTTTTCCATTGAATTTCTTTTTTCATATTCCTAATGGACCTGTTACATTTCATTTTTTTTTTTCAGGCTATATTAGTTATAATTCTTATGATCACTATTACCCTTAACATGGTATTTATCTTTGATACTAGTCAACGTTTACATGGAGAGTTGAGCAATAGAATGGGTAAGTCTATTAAAAAGTATTTTATTTAAATAAGTTATGAGTATTTCTTTTATCTCGTTCGCTGTCAATAGAATACTTCCATTATTTGAGCTTTAGAAATGTGTGAAAATTACTTTTTAATTAGAATGTTATATTTATTTTAGGATTATTTGTTCTCATGAGATAAAAACTAAGTGAATTGTGAAGTATTATTTTATTGAAAATTGAAATTTCTGCCAATTTTGTTTGCTCTTTTATTCTTGGCAGGTTTTTAAATTAGTTTAAGACCAAAAATGTTTTTGAAAATTATTATTTCTTAACCATTATTGCATTATTTTGTGATATTTTTTTTTTCTAGACTTTCATATTCCTTTCTTCAGAATTATTTAAATAAAACTAAAAAACTTTTGATACAAAGTAATAATCTAAAATATTTTACTGCTATTATTTAATTAATTTCTTATTTTTAAATATGATCAAAACATATTTATTTTATTGCTATCATTGATCTTTAGTTTTAGTAATGTGATCTCTCTTTATTATTATTCTGTCTTAATTATTCAGTTTACCATAAAATGGCTGAAATGCCAAGGGTAAGCATTGGTTCATACAGAAATAAATTTACATATATTCAATCTGAACTATATGTTTTAGGTTCTGCATATGTTAACCAGGGTGATAGTGATCATCCAGAAAATTTATTAGACGACATTACTCCGTCTTCCTTAAGTATAGAAGTTCTTTCTAGTCAGTCTCGTGTGACAGTCACCATTGATGGAGCTACAGTATGCATACCATTATATACATTTTTATAATTAAAGGGTCAACTGGATAAAGGTAATATGTACCATTTTTGAGTCCTTAAAAATATGGATTCAAATTACCTCTATCCACTATAAGACTAATGTATAACAAAGGGCACTTCTATCAACGCGGCTGTAGACCCAATATTGAAATTATGTTAATAGAAGGAAGCAATATTAAAAATATATCACTTTATGTCTTTATCCTTAGCAATAAGTCAATTTCTCTAAAAAGTATTCTTATCGTTGATTTATTCAATAGAGAACAAAAATTTACATCAAAACAATCTCCCTAAGGTTGAAAATTTCATTGACATAAAACATTCTTATTTTAGTATCATAATGTATTTATTAATTAATTATTTCAATAGAAAACTTATCAAACCATCTTATCATTTTGTTCTGTGAAAAAGTTTTACTTCTTCCTATCTACTTAAATAGTTTTTATTAATGTCAAATAAAAAACATTCTTTTAAGTCTATTGGTCTTTAGTTAAAAGCAAAAAAAGAATATAGTTGGTAAAATTAGTAAAAATGATTGTTTTTTTTTTTCATTGTGACACATATATTATAATTAAATAATGAATTAAAATATATAGTTGTAAAAGAAAATGGTTAGTAACGAAAAATGCATGAATTTAATAGATTAGAAGAGGGAAAACAATATGGTAATGAATTATTTTAAATAATATTTTGTAATATATATGTGTGTGATATATATATAAAGTTAATTTGATGTATGGCTCGATTTCAAACGAAAAAGGAGTTTAGTCCAATTTTATGTTTTCTTTATCAAGGTGGTCATAAGTAATATTTTGTACTGTCTATAATTTTTACTTTCACTTCCCTATGTATAGGAATGCCTATTTCAACTTTTATGGTGGTTAAGTGAAAGTTGTGTGATGTGCGCATCACACCTGATTTTTTTTTTTAATTTTATTAATTTTAAATAGTATTTTTAGACAAGATAGTAACAAATGGCTCTAATGCAAGGGAATCGTTCAAATAACGTGTTTGTAAATAAAGAATGTTGTGACAAAGATACTGTTTATATATACATGATTCAGTTCTATGGCCAAACTCTGGGAGGTGATTCTAGACAAAATTTCTTAAGATGGTCATAAATAATATTTTGTGCCGTCTATAATTTTTACTTTCACTTTCTTATTTATTAAAATACCTGTTTTTACTTAAAGTATGATTATAAGTGAAAGTTGTATGATCTGCACCTGATTTTTTAAAAATTTTATTAGTTTTAAAGAAATAAGAATGTTAAGACAAAGATACTGTTTATATATTTATTTTGATGTCTTTATTTATATATCTTAATGGTCAAACTCTAAGAAGTGATTCTAAACAAAATTTCCAACAAAAAAAATCATTTGATGAATGTGCCAATTTTGAACGGAAAAGGAGTTAAGTCCAATTTTGTGTTTTCTTGAGGTGGTCCCATTTTTTCTTTCATAGGAAGCCATAACATAAAAATTATTTAATTTAAGTAATTAACAATTATTTTATAGTAAGCTAAAAAAAATTTCCTTCAAATAAAAGTAGAGTTTGTCTTTATCAAAACCATTTAAAGGTGACGTTTGAGCAGCTAAACTATGCTAAGTTGAGTTTTTCATTAAATCATGGATCATTCGCGATTTTTTTTTATTATCCTACAACTGGACTACAAATACTCCACTTTTAAAAAACTTCCTTGTTTAATAAGCTGTTATTGCATATCAATTTAGTTGAAGCTTACTGCAGAATAGAGTTGAGATTCATCTCTATTTGTGTAAACAAATTATGTGATTTGATATTCTGTCACCCCAGAGTACCTGTATTTTCAAAAATTATCCCAAGAAATTGTTATAAAGTTTTAATTCCTTCTTTTTCCTGTGACTTGACATCTACTTTATCAAGTTAATTATGAAAATACACTTTTTATCCATTAAAAACGTGTTATAAAAACACTGCTTCTTCAAAACTTTATCTTCTAAGGTGATATTGGCCATTCTTTTTTATACAAATCTCTATTGTGGAAATTGATCCTTACAGTATTAAGTAACAAACTAACTTTTTTTAATCCTGATATTTACGTTTACATGAAAAAAAATCTAGCAATTGTAGGATTTCATTTTTGTTTATAGAAATGCTCATTTATATTAATGAGCTATTACTATAATTATATGAGCTGTTTGTTATATTATCACCTTAGAAGATAGTATTTTGAAAAAAGCATTATTTTTTAACATTTTTTTTAATGAATTAGAATTGCATTTTCATAATTAATTTAATAAAATGTGTCTAGAATCATCTCCCATAGTTTGTCTATTAAGAACTGGATCATCCTGTGTCTATATTATAATATATTACTTGGAGACCATAAGACGTAACAAAAGTTTTTTTTTAATTTACACCTAATTAATCAACTTTAAATTTGCAATCCAAGTCTACTGAAAATGGCGCACTCACTGGAGTTTACACTTATTTTCATCAATGTGTTACTTTTAATGGTCCAATACTTTCATCTTGAGTTCTTGCTTGAATCAGTTTTGTACATAAGTGAATGTTTTATTTTTATTTTTTCCTTTTAACTAAATACATTAAGAAATTTGCTTATAAAGTTGCTTCATTTCCATTACTTCATTGTAATTATTCTCAATAACATATGTAACGATTTACTGAAAGGAATTTATGTTTTTTAACGTATTAGCTTTTCTACCTTAAAATAAGCTCAAAAATTCTTGATATTATTTTCATCATAAATAGCAATCTATTTAAGCCATAATACTTTCCAAATAGATTTTAGAAGATGGGGAAAAAGGAGAAGGACGTGGAATCCATGTTGTTGTTTTAAATCAGGCTACCGGAAGTGTCATGTCTCAAAGGCTCTTTGACACCTATTCACTTCAAGAAGATGAAGCAATGTCATTGTTTTTAAATATGATTTCAGATGGAAGAATAATTATTTTTGCAATCAAGGTAACTTTTTTAATGTTGAAAAAATAAAATTTGGTTCACTTTAAGAAATTCATTCAAGTATGTTTCTTTGAAATTATTTTAGTATTCTACTACATTTTTATTATTAAGTACAGGAGTGTCTAATTAACCCTTTGACTGTGAGAGCTCATTCAAGTGTTTCTACCAGATGGTGAGTCCCAAAATCCAAAAAGACTTTTGAAAAAACAGATTTGTTTTTTGCATAAATTTGTTGAAAATACTACTTTAAGTCACCCTGCAAAATCTCAGCTTTCAAAAATTCATTTAACCTTTTTATTTAACTTTTAATTAACAGAACATATGCCTTCCCGACCACATATGGCAATGAAAAATTAGAGCGGCAATCCCATAACACTTAGCTGTCTTGCCTATTTGCACATTTCTGAAATGCAAAATAACTGAAAATAATCATAAAAATTAAATAATATTATTTCTTAAAAAAAAAGGAAACCGACGATGGGATTTGAATTACATATTTCTTTGTATAAACTAATTTTTTTTTATCTAAAAAAGTTCTTTATTGAAACATAGCTCAGTTTTAAATTTTATTATTGCACTTCCATTTATTTTGAGTTTCAAACACTTCTATATTATATGAAATATATATATTGTTTTTAGGTGGATGAAAAAATGATAAACCCCTAAAGAGATTTAAATATAATTATTTAAATTCTGTATATTTTTTCACTTATTAATTTTTACTATTAAATTTTAATTTTTGTATATTTTTATATTTATTAATTTTTACATTTATTTATCACATTATTTTGAATGAAATATATGTGTGTGTGTGTGTGTTATATATTATATTATTGTATTATACACCTTTATTGGAAGTTGGTAAAAGTGGTTTAATAAATTAATGTTGAACAGTTAAAAGGCAAGCTAATCTAGTTCTGCTAATGTCAGGGGATGTTTAAATTTGAAAAATAGTTTCACTAGTTCAGGGAACTCTGTTCATACTTCATACTTTTTATTTAATATTAATGTGACATCATCCTACACTTGAACTGTGCCGCATACACACTTAAATATAACATACTAAAGTTACTCATAGCAAACAATGAAAAATATATATAATTTAATATAGTCTCCCACTGCTAGAGACATGTTGAAACATGAGATATATGTTCTCAAATAAATTATTTGAAACATTTGCATTAGTTTATAATGATGCAAAAATAAAAGAAAACTATACCTCTGAACTTTTTTAGAGAAAATAAATTATCAAATGTAGACATTACCTCATCCGACACAAATGATGGCCTCAAGGGTTCCAGATATATTTCTGATAAGTGTAGGGTCTAATTTCTAATTAGTTTCTCCCTATATCATTTCATTCAATCATAAATCATTTACAATTTCATTATTTAATTAATAGAAATAATAAATATATATATATTTCATATTATTAGTTACATAAATATATAAAAATAAAATTAATCAAATACGATGTACATTACATACCATACAATACAAGAATAAATAAGACATGAAATTTAATATTTATAAATGTCTGTGGTCGAATTTAATACCTTGAAAGCTTTTGTAGGCTGTTATGGCAGAATCCTTTCACCACCTTTGCCCCTTGGTCATGTTTTAACTGTTTATAAATTATGTAACTACATAGCTAAATCTATTCTGTGGGTCCAGTTCACTAACTAACTAGTTTCTTCCTTTCAAAATTATAGTCATAATTAATTTTAATCTTTGTCTTTCATAGGTTATAAAGCGAATGCAGGAAATCAGCCCTTAAAATTAAATTGTAATATATTGATTATTTTCTTTTTAGTTATTTTTTGTATATAATCCACTTATAGTCTTTCTGGTTTTTTCATTTAAAATTATAGACAAATCAAATAATAATATATATCAAATAAAATGTTTTATGCACTTATCGTTGATTCTGCACTAACCATATATTTTTGCAGGATGAGGGTACTTTTCAACTTAAAGGTGCAGCAAGATCACTTTTAACTAGATTGGGTTCCAGGCATGCCCAAGGTTTGAGTTGGAGAGATATGTGGGCTATGGTTACTGAAAAAGGAGGCAAAGTTTATGGAGAATCTTATAGCAAAAGTGTGACTTTTAGTTCCTGGGGGGCCTCTGTTATCTTAAGGGTTCAAGTTCCTCTAGTTCCTATTGAAAGTAAGTACCTTTCCATTTATTAAACATTTAAAGTATAATAAATAATCAGAAGGAAATAGCATTAATCTTTTTTTTTTTCATTATTATTAGGTTAAAAATATAAAAATCCTAACCATAAAGCCTTCAGTCACCAAGATGTAGGTGAACAGTTAACCCGTCAACTTTTCCCCAATTCAGGTGTCATCTGGATAAAAAAAACAAAATCACATATATGCAGAACAAAAACAAAGAATGAAAGAAAAATTACATTTACTAAAGATTTTACATCACAACAAAGCACTGGTGGATCTATGAGGAGGAGCTTTTGAGTTGAAGTGGCCCCAAAATAGAAAATTATGTATATTTTTCATTGGTCCATATTTTCTTGTGTGAGTGATCTAAGCAAAATACTTGAACAATCACAATACCTTCTCTTTTTAAACTATAATGCATTTGCATTATAAAACTACTAAATGTAAGTATCTTATTCAGAAAAAATCTGGTGCGGTGCGCGCATCGCACAACTTTCACTGACTACCCTCTTCTTAGCAGAAATAACTATTTTCAGACAAAGAGTTAGTGAAAGTAAAAATTATAAACGCTATATTTATTTAGATATCATTGTGGGTATTTTTATTTGTATAAGTGCCCTTATATATACAAATTTTAATATTTGTATTGCTGTAATCTATTCAACTAAATATTAAATAATACCAATAATAGCATTTATGAAAACCGCATATGTATATTTGTATAATATTGTTGAAGTCCGTATTATATAAAGCTCGTTGTTATGTATGGAAGCGTGTTCTAATCTTTTGAGCAAGCTCAGGTGCGCTATTCCTTTGGTTCCTCAATTACAACTATTCGCCATTACGATCTCTTATTTCTCCTTTAGTTAATCATCAAATTATTTCATATTTTATATTTAACTATATTTTATATTAGAGATTAATGTGAAATGGTCAACTGTTAAAAAAAAAAATTAATGGTACTTTAGGGGAAGCTATTATTGAAAATTAGCCATATAAGCCCTTTAGAGAACACCAATCAGAATAAACTACATTTTATTTAAAACTGCTTAATTTTTATACTGACATAATGAAGTTAATCAAAATCGTTAAAGCCGTTTTTGAGAAAATCCTAAAAATGTTTTTTGTTCATGATATAAAGTGCCACTTCCGGTTAGCCGATTTTGACGAAAATGTTGCTAATATATAAAAACCTTAAATACGCAATTTCACTTTCATACAATTTGTTTTTGAACTAGGCTGTTAACAAAGACAGACATACACACACACACCATTTTGTGGGACTTGGTTATTTGGACTGAGGGAAACCTCAAAACGTATATTTCCGTTGAAAACTGAGAATCGAAAAATTTTCATGATCGCAATACTTTCCTTTTCTATATATTTCATATGTAGGTAAGTGAAAGTAAAAAATCAGAAATTTATTTCTGAAAGCATAATTTTTCTGTAATTCCCGTTTAATTTTTTTTATTTGGCCTTCAAGGACTGCTTAAACATAATTCCATGTAGTTTTTCTTTTTTCTACCAGAGTAATCAATCACCTTTATTAAAAAAAAAAATAAATAAAAAATAACGAAAGCCTAAAATTAAATCCTGGATCCACCACTGCACCAAAGATCTACAAAAATATATACTGAAGGAAATGGGAGGTTGCGTCAACACAGTAGTGGAAGATTATGTTTAAATAGCAGATCGAATGAAAATGAAAAAAAAAATTTGGTTCACCAAAAAACTCGAAATATAATTATATAAAAATGTCTGAAATAAATTAAATACAAAAAATAAATAACTTAATAAATACGAATGAAAGTGTTCTAAGGTATAAATAACATCCATACTCAACTAAACCCACTGGATATATGGCTGCTCTACGAGTTATATTAATATAAAAGAGCGAATAGCTAAAAAGACGCAAAATTAATTATTTCTCTACTCTCTCTATACAACCTCACATTTTCTTCAGTATGTGTTAAGGTGGCTTGGTGTGATGTACATTCTCTAATAAATGCACTTTTTTTTCTTTTGTTCTTATATGTGATCTCATTTTTTCTATCCTGATGATGCCTGGATGGGGTACATGAATGTTTTTATTTGTCCATTATTCAGGAAAAGCATATGTCAAGAATAACTGTTGTGGAAATGGTGTTTCTCAGAAGAATTGTAGAAAAGACACACAGATCGTGTATACATAATGAAGTTGTTAGGGAGGAATTAGATATAATCTCCATGAAAGCAAAAATACAGGAATGATAACTAAGGTGGTTGGAACTTGTACAGAGAATGCCAGATTCCTGCAAGACCAAATGGTATATGGAGGCAAAACCTCAAGGACTGTGGGATGACCCAGGATGACTTACAGGGAGCACCTAGGAGGGCTGGGGCAGAAATAAATGGAGAAAGTGAACTAAGGCTTGGGGGCGTGGTGGCCAAATTGGCTAACGTGTGTGCACAGCACCGTGAGATGACCGGCAACCAGATAACCCAAGTTATGAGATTAAAAAAGGTATGAGTTCACGTCACGGTGCCGGAGGGGGATTTTAAATTGGGGGAAAACCGCATATAGCCTAAAAGGCAAGGTAGGGAAGAACAAGAAAAAAAGCTTGATACTAAAAGGCACAAGAGTAAGAGAAAGAAGATTTTTTTTAAGTTGATTATTTAAGTTTTTTTATTTTTCTAAATATAATGTTTTTTTTAGGTAATTATGTTTATTACAATACATCCTATGAGGAGGCCCAGTCTCGGTAACGGGATGTTGTGCCACACATGAATGAACAATACATCCTATATCATGTGGAAAAAAGAAAGGCACATAAACATAGTACAGTTAAAGGATGATAAAAAACATAAAATCACAAATAATTTATGACTTTTTAAACAAAACTCAGCAATATTTGTCCGCCCAACAGTCCTCTTTAAATAGTTATAATAATAACAAACTCTACTTTCGTTTAAAGTAAATTTTGTCTACTTTACTATGGAACAATGTTTAGTTACTTAAATCAAATATTTTTTATGTTATCGCTTTCTTATCAACAAAAAATAAATGTGACTCGCTTAAAAAAAAAAAAAAAAAAAAAAAAAAATTTAAATTTCCTACTTTTCTGCTAGAAATTGGGCAATTGTTTATGAACATTTGCCACGAATTTTGTCATGAACCAACAACTACATGAATTTTTATATAGATCTTGGTGTCTACTATACCATTTGAATATTTCTCTCTATTTACGGGAAACCCTGTATATATACATAGTGAGTGTCCAGTAAATAGAGAGAAATATTTAAATGGAAGATAGCAGACTTCAAGAGCTACAAACAAGTTTATATAAACATTGAACTGATTTTCACCAGAAAAGTTGGAAATTAAAGTTTTGTGTTTTTTTTTTTAAATAAGTCACATTTTTTGTTGAATAGGAAGTGGTAACTAAAAAGCTATATTATTTGAGTAATTACTATTTTCTTCACAGTGAACTAAATAAAATTAACTTCAAATGAAAGTAGAGTTTGTCATTGTTAAAACAATTTAAAGAGGACTTTTGAACATATGAACTATGATAAGTTCTGTTTTTGTGAAAACCACTGTTCCATTAACACTTTAGATGATAAATATTTGAAAAATCGTATTTTTAACTTTTTTTTGTAAATAAAATGTGTATTTATGCAGTTATCTTTATTATAATACTTTCCAGGTCATAAAAAAAAATTAAAGCTTGGTAATAATTTATTGTAGTTATTTTTGATGAAAACATGTGTACTTTTAGATGATAGGTTAATAAAACACCTAATTTCGTTATACAACTTGTGATGAATCTCAACTTATTTCTTAGTAAACCCTCAACTTAATTAAATGACATCAGAGCTTATTAAACAAGGAAATTTTTATAAAAGTGGGGTATCTATAGTATGGTTAGAGGGTGAAAAAAAATATTGCAAATAATTGATATTTTTAAAAACAGAACATATGATATGTCCTGGGCTCAAAACTCCTCTTTAAACTGTTTAGCAATGACAAACTCTACTTTAATTTGAAGTAAATTTTTTTAGTTTACTGTGAAGAATATTCTAATTTCTAGAATCAAATAGTTTTTTGAGTTATCACTTCCTATTCAACAAAAAACATTACTTATTTAAACAAACATAAACATTTAATTTCCAACTTTCCTGCTTAAAATCGGGTCATTGTTTATATACATTTTTTTGTAGCTCTTAAGGTGTGCTATCATCCATTTAAATATTTCTCTCGAATTTCGGGACACCCTGTGTTTGTATATATATATATATATATATATATATTATATATATTAACTCATAAAAATATAAATAGCTACAATAATAATAAAGTTACACAAAAGTTAAATTAATTTATGGTAATGAGTAATGAAAATTGGAAGCTCATTATTTAGCTATGAAGCACTAACTACTGCAATAATAACAATATCGAGATATAATTTGGCTCATGTTTCTAAAAGATATATAAATTGTGATTTTTCTTTCATTAAGGGATAGTCACACTTTTTTAACAATACATCAGTATTTGACATCACTTTTTAAAATTCAAAACATATTATTAAGTTATCATTTCATACTAACTTTATTGTCTTATTAAGAATTTATAAGGCTCTTAGTTCAGGAACTATGTAAAGGTTTCTGACATCAGACACTGGTATCCTGGAACTACTGGCCCTTTGATCTTTCCACCAACTTTTAGGGATTTTCCATTAATGATTGCTTATCTGTAATTAGGAAGTAATTGCCAATGGCCTGATACAGAAGAAACCCAAAGGAGATTACAATTTTGTAATAGAATTGAGGGCTATGGAAGTGTTTGCAGTTGTGATGAACCTGCTTCACTTACTTTTTCTCCAGAACCGGTAAGTATTTCTTGTTTTTATATATGTATATATATATATATATATATATATATATATATATATATATAATTAGTGTTTCTTTTTAAGTTATTGTTTAGATTTATTAAAAGAGTTATTCCTTTATTCATACTATGAATTTACCCTAACCATTTACCCATAATGGTTGTCATAACACACACGTTTAGTTTTGGGCAGATTTGATTATTATTGTTATTTGACTTAGATATGATCATTAAGAAGCTTATAATTTCATATTTTTTACTTTAAATTGTTTGAAAACAAGATACTTAACTTGTTGTTCTTCCATGGCTCTACAACCTGCGAGGGGTCATGGCCGCCTGAAGTAAGGTCTGCCATTCTGCATCCACTCTCCAGTCCCTGATCCCCAGAATGGTGCGTACATCCTTATTCACCCCATCCACCCATTGCAGCCTGGGCACCTCTTTGAAGAGCCTATTTGGGATTGAGTCAGCATTCATCCTGGCCATGTTCTCAGCCCAAATGAACCGGCGAACCCTGATGAAGTGCACTACATCACAGTCCTTGTACAGCTCAGATATTTCAGCCTTTGTCCTAATCCGCCAAGCTAGCTCATGGGCATCAAAAGTCACTCCAAAAATTCTTCATAATACCTTTCTTTCAAATCGGAGGAGTTGATTTTCCTGGGCTTTGGATACTGTCCAGCATTCAGATCCATATGTAAGCACTGGCCTAATCAGTGTTTTGTACAATCGCAATTTAGTTGTGCGAGACTAATTTACTTTTCATCAATCGCACTAGCCCGAACTAACATTTGTTAGCTGCAATGATTCTTCTTTGGGTTTCCTTCCCTGTGTCATTATCCTGAGTTGTTAACTAGCCAAGGTACATGAATTCCCCGACTCAATCAAATAGGTATCCGTTCAGCAGCATATGAGAAGGGAGCATCCCTTGTGGCTTTGTCACCATATATTTTGTTTTTGACTGGTTAACCTTAAGCCTCATTTTTACAGCTGCAGCTTGTAAGTTTTCAAACGCCATGACTATGGCTTTAAAATTTCTTCCAATGATACCAATATCATCTGCATAGCCCAGTATTTGGGCTAAACAATTGAGAATTGTTTTTCCCACTTTAATGCCTGACTCCCTTACCACGCCCTCCAGCAAGGGCGGATCTACGAGGGGGGCTTTCGGGCTGAAGCCCCCCCCCCAAATGGAAAAATATAACCATGTTTTATGTGTATGGGGGAAAAAATTTTAAAAATACCTCTTAAAGTATTGTTGTTCGTGTAATTACATTTAAAAGTACTTAAGGAATAACTTAAACACCATCTCATATAGGTAGTTAGTTTCTTTCTGTTTTTCCAAAGGAATTATCGTTATTTTTATAAAAAAAAAGGGTTTCGGGCTGAAGCCCCCCCAAAATTAAATCCTGGATCCGCTAGTGCCCTCCAGAGCAAAATAAAAGAGGAGGCACTCTGCCGCAGACCTTGGTAAGTCTGGAATGATTCCGAGAGCTCACTGTCAATGCGCAGTCTGATGAGTCTCACAAGCTTGGGTGGAACTTCCATATCGAGCATAGCTTTGTAGAGTTTAGTCCCTTATTACACTATTGCAGCCCGAAAATCTATAAATAGGTGATGGGTTTGGATATGATATTCTCGGGTTCGTTCGAGCATCAGCCTAAGGAAAAACAGTCTGTTATGCCCTTAGCTCTCATAAAGCCAGCCTATAAGCGCAGGTTCTACCGGGAAGTGAACGCTATTAGATAATCTAATCATTTAAGCAGTATTTATTTGCTTGCAAAGACACTGATGGCACTCTCCTGAATGTTTTCAGACAAACAATTTACTGTTTTATTAACAAATAGTATTCTTTTTAATTACCTCAAATGTATTCTATTTATAAATTGTAATTGTTAAAATAATAATTTAAATTGTTTTTATAACCTGACCATACTTAGTTTTTGCTAAGATTATAATTTGCCAATATTATGCCCATATTTGGTAAACAAATATTAAAAATTTATTTTTATTGAAAATTTTGTTATTATAAATATATAACCAAAATGTCATCTGGTTAACTTTTTTTACATCAACCCACTTTCTTAACTATGACCATTACCTGATCAGCAGCGGATTTAGGAGTGAATTTTGGGGGCATCAGCCCGAAAATTTTTCTTTTTATAAATATAACGGTAATTAATTAAGAAGAAAAACAAAGAAACTAACTCCCTATATGATTTGGTGTTCCATTGATTCTTGAAATCCTATTAGAAATGTAATTACACACACAATAACACTTTTAGAGTTAATTTTTTAATATGTTTTTCATAAGATATGGTTATATTTTGTAGTTGTGCATGCATTATGAATAAAAAATAGAACATATTGTTATTGTTTAATTATTTTTCCTTGATCACTCACAGTAACTAATATGGACCAGTGAAAACAAAAATTTTCATTTTGGAGTGCTTCACCTTGAAAGCCTCCTCCTCTCCCCTATGATTTACCCTGCCAACAATATTTATAGAATTTTTTCATTAATAAAATTTTGTGGTTTTGTTGATATTCATTATTAAATTAGGAAGGAAATACTGTTTACTTTTTTATTCAGACTAAAAATTAAAAAGATAGATTATAGCCATATACCTTTTGTAACTGACTATTTTTTAAGGTGGAAGACAATAAAGTGTATGAAGTACCTGTAATTGTTATTGCTAGCAACCGACCACATTATTTGTACAGGTAAGGTATTTAATTTTTTTTTTTGGTTAGATATTACTGTATTTTATCGCCTTTCTATGAGCTTCTGTTTATATTTTCTGTACTATGATATATTTTAAAGATGACCTTCACATTTTTTAAATTCCCAGCTTTTGTTTTCTCCATAGTCATTAAACCCTATTATATATCTACTATCTTCTCATTCTCTTCTTAAGATAAATATTCTTATCATGCCTTTTTCTATAAATTGTAGTTTTATAAATTTAAGTGTAAATAATTCTTGAATACTTAATGGTTGACTGTGGCATATTATTGAGTAAGAAGATGGTCCTGGATGGTGGTCATAAAAAGACTAAAATAGTAAAACAAATATTTTATTTAAAGCCAACATTTCAGTTTCAGTTTCAACCAACACTCCTGAATACTGAATGCAGCCCCCTGAGAAAGACCTACAAAGTCGGTTTGAAACGTTGGCTTTAAATAAAATAGTTTTTTTCTATTTTAGTCTTTTTATGACCGCCACCATTGCTTCTGCATTGCTTTACTTTTGAAATTTATGACCATCAATATGGTTTCAGAGTGAAAACAGAAAGTGTCACAACTGAGCTTTTTATCCGCGTATTATCATTCTAGATTGAATTGTTTTAGAGGGTTTTGAGTAATGAGGAGTTTATATTTTACTCTTATATACCCCAACTAGGGCTTTAAGAGTGGTTTATCGTGCAGGGTACTAACCTATTCTAGCCATAGTAGAAACATCAAAATTCATTTTGCGGATTGGTTTTTGAGCACTGAAGGGTATTCAAGTATTCAGGAATGGGCTGCAAATGTGGGATGAATTACACGCCCTGATGATGACACATATGCTTGGCTTGAAATGTCAACACCAATAAAAACCTTAAAAATGACTGTGTTATATATAGAACAGTCAACAAACTTCCTTCAATGACTCTAAGGATCATCATTTTATGCAAAATGATTGCAGTTTTTTGTAAATAGTAATTTTCTTTTCAATTTTAGAATTTTCTAAGATAACTATCTATATTGGTAGGTTAATAAGGTAGATTTTTAAAACTAATATAAATCAAAGTCAACTTAAAATCTTGTTTAAGTAGATTACTGAAGTTGCTGCACTTCTAGGATTTGTTTTATTTTTATTTTGTTGGGTTTTGCAAGGTCTAATTACAATAATAGTTAATAAATTATTATTGTTTTTATTAAGGTATTTTAACAATTTAAAAATACAAAAAAAATTAATCATGAATATTAACTAATAATTTCTTTTTCAAATTGTTTTCATAGATCTCTGAGATCTCTTTTGTCAGCTAGAGGTGCCAATAAAGATATGATAACAGTTTTCATTGATGGTTATTTTGAAGAACCCCTTGAAGTGACAAAGCTTCTTGGTCTTCGTGGTATACAGCACACTCCAATAGGCTACAAAAATTCCCGGATTTCACAGCATTATAAAGCTTCTTTCTCTGCTGTATTTAATATGTTCTCTAATGCACATTATGCCATTGTTGTTGAAGAGGATTTAGATGTTTCTGAAGATTTTTTTAGGTACCTACTTCTTATCTGTAATTGGATTTGACATTTCATTGTAAAATAAATAATTGCTTGTGTTAGTTTTTTTAGTCAAACAATAGAGTTACTAGAAAAAGATCCTAGCATTTACTGTATATCAGCTTGGAATGACCTTGGCTACGAAGAAACTAGCAGTGATGTTTATGAACTCATGAGAGTTGAAACTATGCCTGGTTTAGGTTGGGTACTGAGTCGTAAGTTATATAAGAATGAGTTAGAACCAAAATGGCCTACTCCTGAAAAAGTAAGTAATGTTCTCTCATTTTGATTTATAAACAATTCTTTGTTAAAAGACTTAAAATTAATAATAGGGTGTATAAAAAAATGACCATTTTATCAAATTCAAGATTTCAAAGGACTGTAAATATTTTAATCCTATTTATTACTTACCAATACTTAATAATTTCTTTAGAGCATTCTCTAAGCTTGTTTAATCTCATTCGACCTTTTCAAAATAAGCCTCAGTTTAATTATTTATTTCAAAGAAGAAACATGACAGTGTCCTTCGAAATTTTCATAATTTTAAGGCATTACTGGAAAAAAAACTTCATAGCCGCTGAAGCAACTCTTGAAATTATTAAATATCATGGAGGTGTGCTTTACCAGCGCACTGCACGGCGTTGTTTTGAAAAATTTAGCAGTGGAGATACGACCTCACGAAGTTGCTCCTCAGCAATCAGCTAAGAGGTTAGAAATTTGTGAACATTTATTGAAGAACTCTTGCCTGATAAACTCCTGCCTCATCCACCATATTGTCCAGTCCTCGCACCATCGGATTACTTCTTATTTAAAGCCCATTTTCTTCAAGGGAAAAAAATTGATAATTTTGAGGAAGTTGAAATTGCGGTCCAAGAGTTTTTTGATGGCCATCCCAAAGAATGGTATCAGCATGGGATCGAGCAATTGGCTAGCAGATGGCTAATGATGGTAGCTAACAATGGACTGTACTTTGAGTTTTCATTGTATATATCATTTTATATATCAAAGAAATAATAATACAAATATTTGGTTGAAAAGCGATCATTTTTTTTCATACACCCGATTAGTTTAGTTTATTTTTCTAGTTCCTATATTTGTATAATTATATTTAGTTTTATCAAATATATATATGCCTTCAGTTTCCTTTATATTCTATCTTTTTCCATTGAGTTTTTTATACGGTTTGCCAAGATTGAAGAAGACCTAGATCAAATCATTGCCTGGATAAACTCAAATGGATAAGGGTTTAACACTTCTAAAAATCAGAACATTGTCTGTCATTGATTCCAGACCCTTCCTCCTGGAATCACCATATTGACCACATTTACACAACAAAAATTTATAATTAATAACAACCATATTTAATTAACTACAACATTTTATTTATTAAGGAATTCAGTTGTGAAACAACACCATACTACTGTGTTAATTCTGATTATATATGATACATTCATTTTATTTATGTTCTAAATTGTACTTGAATAAGGATAAAATATTCTTAGTATCTATAGTATGTTATCAATTGAAAATTCCAGATGTGGGATTGGGACATGTGGATGAGAATGTCAGAAATTCGAAAAGATAGAGAATGTATTGTTCCGGAGATATCTAGAACATTTCATTTTGGTTCATTTGGAATAAACATGAACTCATATTTTCAAGATAAATATTTTAAAAGTCATTCATTTAACACTCAACCAAAAGTAATCTTCCAGAATGTTGAAAGGTATTTTATTTACTGTATTATATGAATTTTTTATTACTATATTAAAAGTTTAAAAGGTTTTTCATATATTTTCTATTTAATGCATTTTATGGATTTAAATTAAACCTCCAGACTACCAAAATATCACTTCTATTTATTCATTTTTCATGCCCCTCCCTCCTCTTGGTAATCCAACCACTTGTTCAAAATAATTCCCTTCATATTTAATGTACCTGGTTCTGCCATAAATACTATTACAAAAGTTGAACTTTGTTTACATTCTTGGGTATTATTTAGATAATCCTTACCCCTATCAGATTATTTTCTTTACATGTCTGAATAATAATCCCAATTAGTTTGTATTTTTCTTTCGCTCAGTTAACATGAAGTGGGGTGATGAAGAAAACTGAATAGCTGTGATCGCCTTGCACAAAGTTGGAAAATGTAGGTCAGAGATTTTCAACACTTTAAAACCTTTGGGTATCAGCCGTATGTTCGCGTACCACACTATAAACAGATACAATGAGACCCTATCTGTATGTGACACATCTCGACCGGGCCGCCCTGTCAGAATGGCAAATGCATTGAGAGTACTGGCTGCTTGAATCAGAAGAAATGCCAATCCAAAACAACAAATCATGTCTCGGGAAATGGGAATCTCTGTCAGATAAATGACTCGCATGATAAAAAGTGAACTTAGGATGAGTGCATTTTGAAGAATAACAGGATAGAGGCTAACCGGTTCCCTAAAAACAATTAAAGTGGATAGATGCGAAGTGCTGCTTGCCCGTTACACCAACGGTCTTCATCGAAAGATTTTCTTTAGCGATGAGAAAATTATTACTATTGAAGAAAAATTTAATCACCAAAATAATTTTGTGTACACACACAGCTCTAAAGGAGCCCAGGAAGTCATTGGAAGAGTGGAAAGAGGTCATCACACTTCCTCAGTGATGGTTTGGTGGGGAGTTTGCTTTGATGGCACCACAAAGCTCTATTTTTGTGAAAAAGGAGTTAAAACAGCCACTAAAAACTATCAGGACGATATTTTGGAACCTATTGTCAAGCCTCTAAATGATACTCTGTTTGCTGGAAGTCATTGGGTTTTCCAGCAGGATTCTGCTCCAGCTCACAAGGCCAGGTCAACTCAGCAGTGCCTACAAAACAACATTCCAGAGTTCATCTCTGCCTCGTATTGGCCCTCAGTAAACACTGATCTGAACCCCAAAAGATTATCGACTTTGGTCTGAATTGGAGAGGATGGCATGCCACAAAGTACACCCTAACTTGGAAAGCCTCAAACAATCTCTGGTCCGAGCAGTTGAGCGCTTTCCTCAAGAAATGCTGTGTGCTGCCATTGATGACTGGCCACTGAGATTCTATTTTCTAATAAAGTTTTTCAAAACATTAATTTTTCTGTTGAAATCTGTATATATTTTCTTGTAACAATATTTGTGACAGGACTAGGTAGTTATTCATATGACAATTTTTTACCTTCTAAATTTAATTTACTATTTTTCATTTGTTTCTATCTTTGATTCTTATCCCAATTTTCACCACCAAATCATCTTTAATTTTATCATATAATGTTATATTTTTTTTTCTTTAGCATCAAAATTGTGCATGTTATTAAATATATCCAAAGATTGTTTAAAAAAATCAGATAATCTATCTGTAAGGCTGTCTATATTACTAACCATTGTCCTCAGATTTTTGGGGATTTATCTAACTTTTCTAATCTTTAAATTCTTGAGTCTGTATTATGATTTGCCTCTAACTCTATTTGTGACAATATGTAATACTTTTTGTCATTGTTTTTTAATATTACCATTTAAACTACATAAATTTTGCAATAGCCTCAGCCCTCCACTTCTGTATGGCAATAACTCCAGGCATAATAGTCTTGATAACTGACTCCTTGAATTCATTAAAAGGTTTAAACTACATGCACTCAAAACATCTTCTTCTCTCACTATCTCCTGTGTGCTGCTAAGCATGGAGTAGCTGCCTCTGACCATCTTGTCCAATGGTACCTGTCCTGTACAAGCCTTCTCATCTCCGGCATGGTGCTTCCTCTCGCTATGCCAATTCTCTCAATCAGATTTGCATACATAAGCCTTGGCCTGCCTTGAGGTCGCCTTCCTCCTGGTCTTAATTCTAGAAGCCACCTGGCCTTACTGTCATCTTCCATTCTATTAACATGCCCGTACCACTTCAACTGCCTTTCTTCAATCGTCTCTAGGACGGATCTAACTTCTAGTTCATCTCGCACCCTTTCATTCCTTATTCGATCTCGCCTGGTTTTTCCTAATATTTTCCATAGGAATCTCATTTTTGCAGATACAACCTTGCTGGCATGGGGGTCCAAGAGTGTCCAGCTCTCCGATCCGTATAATAGCACTGGGAGAAAAACTGATTTGAATAGCAGAATTTCACTTTTCTGCTCATCTCCTGCTTTCCAATGAGTGTCATGGATATTTGGTAGTATATGCCATTGGCCTTTTGGAGTCTATTCATGACCTCCTGGTCTATTCTTCTATCCCTGCCATTGATTGTTCCAAGGTAGCAGTAGGTATCGGTTTGCTCAAGGGTCTCTCCATTGCAAGTAATTCTAATATCCTCATTCCTTCGTCCAACACACATGACCCTGCTTTTGGAGGGATTGATCTGCATGCTTCTGAGTTGCAGTTCTTCTTGCCGCTCATTCACAGTGACCTGGAGCTATTCAGCAGTATCCGCAACCAATACCACATCATCTGCGGACAACAATGCCTGTGCAAACACTGGGGTCATTTTCCAGTATCCCACTATTGCTCTGGGTGTCCTCCTTTTATAAAATTTCCAAATGGCATCCATGAAAATTATGAACAGTAGGGGGCTCAGGCTATCGCCCTGTTTAACTCCCCTAAAGAAATGGAATGACCTAGACTCAGTGCAGGCTAGTCTTATTACTCCCTTTGGGTCTTGGTACACTGACTTAATTGCACTAATAAGATTTTGTGGGATTCTTGTATCTTGTAATGCATCCCATATTTCCTGTATAGGAACATGGTCGAAAGCCACCTGTAAGTCTAGAAAAGCTAGGTATACTGCTTTACCTCTACCCCATGCCTTCTGTACAATCATTCTCAGAGAGAAGATATGATCTTGTGTCTGTCTGCTGGGTCTAAAACCTGTCTGTTCCTCTTCCAGATCTTCTTCCACCAACTCAAAACTTCCAGTTATCCTAAAAATACACAAATATATTCACATTCCTGAAAATTTGGGAAAAATCTGTTTGTTTTATATGAGTTCTCAGTCACGTGAGTATAGTCGGTAATTAGCATGCAGATACGGCACCCAAACAAGCACTCGTGCTTCCAGACCGAGGTACTCCTATCCTGACCCCTCCAAAAATGAGTTTTCCTCTCAAAAACGAAATATCGGATAGTTGGCAATCTATGTGGAACGAAAGCCCACCTAGCAAATTAGAAGTTGTTAAAAAATTAGTGAAGCCCTGGACCACTTCAAACAATAATGACCTAATCATAGAGAGGAGGTAGCCGTGACATGGTTAAGAATAGGGCACACAAATCTAACTCATTTACATCTCATCACTAAGCAGTCACCACCAAGTTTTCAGCACTGCAATAGCCCTTTCACTATCAATCATATTTTCCAAGAATACCCTTATTATAATTCAAGCCTAAATAGATTATCTCTAAAACCGGATATATCAGTAGGATTAAGCAATAACGAATCAAACATAAAAACAGTAATAAATGTTCTTAAAATCCATTGGCTATTAAATAAAATTTAAAAATAAATATAATTTTTATTTTATTGTGCTTTGTTTTTGTTTTTCTTTATTTTAATATATTTAATTTTTTATATGTTTTTCATTTATTATTATATTTATTATTAATTTTTAGTTATTCACTCTTCTTTTTTTTTTCTCCTCCAAACAGTTTACAAATATAACCTCACAGGCATTGATGACCCTAAGGTTTTATGCTTTAAAGCCTAAAGAAACAAACAAACAAACTACATAAATTGACAGCAGTATAACAAAACTAAGCTATTAATATTTTCTCCTTTTATCTTTTTAGAGTTACGAAAGATAATTATGAGGATTTTATTCATAATATGATTAAAACTGCTACTGTTTTAAATGAATTTCAATCTCCATGTAATGAAAATTTCCTTTCTAACTACAGTGATGGAAGAAACTCTAAGGTAATTTCTGATAAAATATCTTATTTGTGCAATTGTCACTGCAAATAACGCTTCATAATTTTTTTTTTAATGAATGTGACAGTATGGAAAAGCTGTGCAGATTATTTTGTAATTCAATATATAAACAAATAATTAGCTTTATTGTTATAATCTCTCTCAATAGACATTTCAAAAATATTTTGCTAAATTTTATATTTTTAACTCACCTTTTTGTCTGATTTCTAGGTAGCTGTAAACATGATATTTATTTTGTTTATTAAAATGGTTGATTCCAAAGATTTCGATACCTGGCTTCAAACTGCTAAGGTAGGATTGTATAGCAGAAATATTTTATAACTATTTAATTTACATTTATAATTGTTATATATTAAATTCTATGATTATGGGTAGGGATGGGACAATGGAACTGGATCGGGAATGGGGAATCTAGTATCATTGTGGAACAGAATGGAACAGTTCCAATGAATTAGAATTATCAGTACCGCCAGATCAGTAAGGCTTGAGGAGACCAGTTTGATAAGGAATGGAGAAGCCGATTTGATAAGAAATGCAGGAACAGATAACAAAAGTGTTCCTTTTCATTTCCAGCCGATTTGATATGGAGCACAGGAACATTTGATAAAAGCGTTCCATTTCAGTTCCAGCCGGTTTGATAAGGAGTACAGGAACTGTTGACTGAAGTGTTTCATTCCAGTTCCAGTTGGTTTGATAAACATTGCAGGAACAGTTGGCTTATGTTTTCCATCCCAGTCCCAGCCGGATCGCTAAGAGAAATTATTGGATCAGTGGGAACTCCTGCTATTTATTAAAAAAAAAAAATTATCTTATTTTAATTATCTCTTTCAACATTTTTTTGTTTGAAAAATAAATTAATTTACAAAAACGTTAAATAATTATTTCTGAAATAATTCTAGTTCTAAAATGTTTAAAAGCCATGAATGATGTATTATTAAGTACCTTAAACACAGGGGTGCATATAACTTTTTATATTTTTATTTCAGTATAAATTAGTACATCAGTATGAGTAGCATCTACATTTCTAATAATTTTGTTTCGTACATATTCTTTTAAAACGTTTTGACTTCGCTTCATTAATTTACCTCATGTTCCTCCAAATGTAAAATCATCCTACTAAAAAAACTCTTAATTGGATAAATTAAAGACCTGGTGATTTTTTTTATTAAAAGCAACTCTTTTTTTAAATTTTAATATAAAGAAGTTTATGTTAATACCAAAAGGTTATAAATAAAATGAACATTATATCGTAGATAAATTATTTCTTTTGTGCACTGATACGAATACTATAATTTATCTTTCTTCACAATTTTATTATTCATTACTATAAACAGTGTTATGAAATTAAAAAAAAAAAAAATCATGTGAATAACTAACTATTTCATATTATTTTCAGTGTTTAAAAATTTGGGACTTAGATGCAAGAGGATATCATAAAGCAATGTGGCGTTTACGAATTAAGAATAATGAGTTGTTGGTTGTCGGCTATCCATTTTCTCCTTACTCGTAAGATTTTTTAGCTTAAAATAATTTTTTTTAAATATTTTTTTGATTGAAAGTGTTTAGCTTTATCAGGATTGCCTATAACTACTACAGTTAGTTGGCAGCCCAAGGGCAAACTGATGCAGCTGTAAGTTGAAACAAACCTTTTTTTTTTTTTTGTATTTTTCCCTTCCCTTGTAGTATATGTATATATTTATAATTATTTTGTAAATAATATAGAAGGGTAAGATAAAAACAAAATATTAGTTTCAACTTAGTGACACTCAAATTCGCCCTTGGGCTTCCAACTAACTATGGTTGTGCTATTTTGCACCTATAATTCTTTTCTGCATTATATTTTAACAATCTCAGATGCTTTTCATTTACAAATTAATTGATTTCAATCTCACATCAGTTAGAACTCTTTGTCATGTTAAGCAATATTACTCATGAAGCAAGATAGGTTAGATCGGATATCACAAAATCAAAAATCTAAAAGATGTTATATTTTACATATATATAGTGAAGACAGTAAGATATCAAGGGAGGTATAACAGTGTAAAGCAGAAAAGGAAATGTTAAGTGAGAACCATCACATTTGAGTTTGGTGATTGAAATTACTGAAATAGGCAGGTAAAAGAGATAGCCCTCCCTTACACTATAAACAATACATAAAGTTTAGAATCACTCAACTAACCTAAAAATATACAAATCCATGTGCAAGTCCCAAATTACACTTTTTGATTCCTTCTAGCATGGATCTGCATCATATAGAACAAACTTTATGAACCTGATGTAGATATTGGTACTAGTGCTGGGGGAACTAGTTTGGCAAGTGGGCCCTATTGTAGTCCTATTTGCTAACCCCTGATAGTTACCTTGAGGTTGCTGCTGCATGCTTACCAGATTGGGAATGTCAAAATTCATTACTCGGGGCTGCCTAGAAATGAAATTAACCTACCCAGATGGGAATCAAACCAGGCACTCTGGGACGCACACCCCAACGTGCTTGGCCATCCCATCCTTTTAGTATAGATAAATTTTAAGAACCTTAATTGTAAAATTCAATTGACACAAAATTTTGTGTCACCATTTTATTTAATTAAATTATTGTGTGCAGGACTCATATACTTTCTCTTATTGATAGCTTCCCAAAAAAAAAAATATTACAGGTGTTTTAATCGATACAGAACAGCCTTGTAGTTTTGGTAAATTTTGCTTGTTCATTTATTGTTGTCAAGTTGAGAGAACTCACTTGCCGTCAGAACATCGAGCCATGTCTCCCTCAGAATTTCATTCTGAGTGTCTCATAAGTGATGTAGATGATTATGTGCTCAGCAGTCTGCGATATACCGAAAATGGGGTATAGGTAGTTGATGTACTGCCCAAGCTTCTAGTGCTTACATAGAAGCCTCCATGTAGCTTTGGGAACTGTGAGTGCCAACAGTATGGAAGGACCCATATTGCATCTTTAGGAGACATGGGGGTGGGAAAAGACTTTCTCAAAGTGACTCATTTAGGGTTTGCCACTGATCATTCTTTCTTTTCTATTGGGATCATCCACTATCACTTGTATAACTATTGACTGTGAATTTGGGATATCCTTTGTCATTTATCTATTTATTTATTTAATTTTGATTTTTTAACTTTGTCTTATCTTTCTGTCTATATTCAAGACATTGCATTGATATATGTGTGCGATTTAGTCTTGTATTTCTAGCATTCGAATACTTCAATACTTCAAGCATTCCCTGGTGTTACTACCTTCTTCCTTCACCTCAAATTTCATGTCCTCCTTTCCCAGTTAGTTTGTTGGGATTTACTCATTTCCATCTCCAGCTGCATAGTTTTACATGCCCCAATAATTTGCAGAAGAACCATCCGATAAATTGACATCAGTCCACTCTTCTTTCAGTCTGAAAAATTCTATCTACAAGCTAGAGACTTACATCAGGGTACCCAGTATCACACCTAAGTAAACTGTCATTGAAGCTACAAAAAAAAAAAACTACTCAAATCAAATATAAAGAAACCAATTGTGAAAGTAGTTTGACATTTTTTTGATTAAGGTTACAGTTAATATTATTTAAGAGTTGTATTTATCTAAAATGTTTTTCATTTCATATAATGGGCATTGTTGGTGATTAAATTATTATTTATTTATTTTTTTTAAATTAATACATTCTGCCGCATTGGAGGGCATTAATATTAGGGCTACATTAAACATTCACACATAAATTATTATTAGAAACAGATAAAATGAAAAGTAATTACAACTTCTATTTTTGTTTGAAAACCTGGTCGAGAATAGAAATATTTAAATGGTTTTATTAATAATGTATTATATATTTTTTTAGGATTTACAAACCAGAAAATATAAAACCTCTGAATTTGCATCTACAGAATAGCCGAGAAGTAACCGAAAGTACATGACATATCAAAAGAAACTGTATGATAATTTTTTTAAATAAATAATTTATTTCTTATATTTTTATCAATTGTTTTCATTCCCTACATTCAGTCTCATTTAATACCATTACTGATGATTCCTGTAGATTTACAGTTATATCAATATATATCTAATTATAACATTTATATACTACTAATTCCATGTACTGAAATTGTGGCTATCCATAATTTTGTGGGAACCAGAGTGTCAGATAACTTAGTTTAAGTTATCATTTAATTACTGCAGATGTAAAACACAAATTTCAGAAAAAGTTGACTTTATAATAAAAAAAAGAACAGAATAAACCTCAAACTAAAACTACCTATTTAAAAATTTATATTCCATTTAACTAGTTTAGTGATTTAAAAATTATAAGGCATAAGACCGTAAAGAAACATAATATTCGCTCGAGCTAATTGAGATCCCAAAGAAGACCGGGAAAAGGCCCGAGGGAATAGTATTGTCCGTCGGGGCGGCCCTGGGCATCAAACTTAATGCGGAGGACCTGAATCTTGTGGAGAGAAAGCGTCCTAGACGAGAGGACACCAGGTCACCGTCGATCGTCGCGCGTTTTGTCCGCCAGACGATCTGGGACGAGGTGTTACGACTTCGAAGGATAAAAAGGGTCTTCACCACCAGGTACCTCGGTTGTGAAAGCAACGAAAGAATTTACATTGGAGAAGAGATGAACTCAAGCAACCGCCACCTTGTCTGGCAAGACAGAAAAACGCAGCGGGAAAAATCAAATACGTTTGGGTTTCCAGAGGGCGTGTTAGATACCGAAAATATGACGGTTTGCAGGTCATAATCATCAACAAGGCCGAAGATCTAGTTGCGATTGAATGATGGAAACGAATTAGTCTGTGGGCCAGACTCTCTTACTGTGCACCCCTCCCCCCCCCATCCCTATAAATTGCATATCGTTGTGTTCCTTGTAACTATTTAAAAAAAAAAAGCCAATGTTCCTACAAACAAAAGTTAACGCACTGCCCCAAAATGGCGTTCAAACATGGCGGACTGACGACTTTGACTTTAGTTAGTTATTTGGTCACTGAGAATCAGCCTTTGGCTTAATTTCGAACACAATAATATGAAATTTATAGGGATGTGGAGGGGGGGGGGAGTAGCGGTACACGGTATGGGGTCTACCTAAGTTTTACCTACGTTCCTCTTGAACGTATTTTATACAACAATGTAATAATAGTCGATGATTTTAATACCAATTTATCCTCCGACTCCCCTGATAAATCATAACTTATAGATCTAATCCATTCTCTTGACCTATTGACCTATTTATCGTTCCTTTTCATCCTACTCACCATACCCAGTTCTCGAGCACATGGCTCGACCTTTTACTAACAGATTCCCCTCAAAACTTATTATCCTCCACTCAGAATTCCTTTTCCTTTCTTTCACATCATGATCTCATCAAGATTTCCTATAATGTTCCGACTCCTAAGTTCATTCTCAGGCGAAGGCGGGATCTTGGCTCACTGAAATCTGAAAAACTAAATCCTTTCCTCGAATCACTAGTCCAATCCTTAGATCCGATCTATTCCTACTCCTCTGTTGATGAAATGGTGGAGTGTCTTTCCTCAAACGTTCTCCTATTCCTAAATCCCCCTTAAAGACCTCGACCTTCAGACGCTCTGCAACTCCCTGGATTAATCCACAAATCAAATGAACACGTAATCCGGATGACTACTTTTTTTAAAGACTTTTCGAAACCTTACCTCATTGCGACGTGCTAAGTCACAATTCTTTCATACTTCCTTATCAAAAGCCCCAGATCCTAAATAGAGATGGAAAATCCTTAAAAACCTCTCCGTGGTAAAATCAAAGGCTGCACGTCCTATCCTGTTTCTTCAGATCAACTGAATTCCCACTTTGCTGATCCCGACTCATTACCACTTTCCTTCTCTTACTGCATTCCTAAAGCTTCCTTTCACCCTGAAAATTTCTATTTTACAAATATTTTACCAGAAGACCTACATTCCTCAGTCCTAAAATCCAGAACAAACGACTATGGCCCGCACCTAATTCCTGTGAAGTTAATCAAATTATATCTTCCTGTCATCTTTCACGCCCTATTGCATATCTACAATTTTCCTTACAAAATTCCAGTTTCCTGTCATCTTGGAAAAAAATTATTATCCACCCACTGAGCAAAGTTCCAGTTCCCTCCAAAGTTTCCGATTTCAGACCCATCTCCATTCTCTCTAACCTTTAAAGCCTCTTGAAAGAATAGTCCAATCACAGCTTAATACTTTCCTTGAGCTAAAAGCTCTCCTCAATCCATTCCAGTCTGGTTTCCGATCCCTGTTATCCATCCAATCAGCTTTGTTGAAAATTTCCCAGGACCTTCATTTCTCTATAGACAAACAGAGAATCTCGATCATAGTCCTCTTTGATTTTTCAAAGGCCTTCGATTCCGTAAATCACGAAATCCTCCTTACCAAACTCCAAAACCTTTCCAAATCAAATAGTGCTCTAAAATGGTTTCATTCTTTTTTGTATCAAAGATCCCAAACAGAAAGATGCATAATCAATGGTTCATAAATAAAGACAGTCCTAAGTACGAATATGATGTTTCAGTGTCGATTTTCCATTAAAAAAATTATGATAGGATCTGATACAATTAATATTCTATTTCAAAAGATAGTATTTATATTAGAGTTGATTTAAAATTTCAAACATATTTGAGCATAAACTTTTTTCCTGTAAAAAATATAGAGGAGTTGCTTTATCTCCCCACTTCTTAGAAAACTTAATGGTTGTATTAACCAGTTACTTATGTGACTATTCATGATGATTATCCTGACAATACCATTTTAATAAAATTTAAAAAAATAAATTTTCTAGGGAGTGAGGTACACATTATTTATTTATGGAAGTAAGAAATGGTTAAGTTTTGATTTTAAAATTTATATAAATTTATAAATATTGTACTAAATTAAAATAAGAATATGTGGGGATGTTAAACAGTCTGTTCAAACTTACTTGCAACTGGCGTTTCAGTATCTCTCTTAATTAAATTATTAGAAACTATTGTAATCGTGAAAACATTTGAATCCGATAGAAAAAGAATACTACTTAGATATACAAATATAATATATAAAATTGAGAAAGAAGGTAGCCTACAAAAATATTGGGCCATTTGGCGTGACCTCCACCTCTAACATGTCAAAATAACGAGATTATACAGGCCAAACGGTTCAATATTTTTGTGGAACACCTTTTTTTTTTCTTTTGCATTGTCTACATTAACTTACTAGAAAAACTAACTTCGACGGAATGGAATACTCAGTTTTAAAACTAGCTTGTGGTCAAAAATTGAACAAGAGTCTGGACCATATATTTTATTTAGAAGTTAGAAATGAGTCTGCTGCGCCGAATAATGGCGTATTGTTATGTGGAAATCGGATCATAATTCAACGGGATCCCATCATGAAACTATTGAAATAGGACACATTGGCCAACATCGTAAAAACCACTTCGTTCATCCATTGTAATAACACGCAGACGTAGTTTTATTTTATTTTTTTTTCCCCTTTCTTTTTTTTTTTTATATGCGATATTACCACCAAGTAATGTCAACTAAGAGGTCCCATTCAGTTGGCTCTACCCCACGTAATTCTCCGCCTAAACAGAAAACACGTCGTAGTAAGCGATTAACACCCCCCGGAACTCCTCCAGCGAACACTCAAGTATCTGTGTCTCAACCACTGCCAAGTACGTCTTCACAAGAAATGGAATCTCCATTTTTTACACCTAATCCATACCAGGTGCTTGAAAATGACAGGGAAGAAATGGAAGATGCACCTATACCTCGAGAACCACGCCCACCTCCTATCTTTGTCAAAAATTTGAGAAATTTCCAGTTGTTGTGTACTCAACTTAATAAAATCTGCCCAGGTAGCTATACATGCCTAAACAGAATAAATGATACAAAAATAATACCGGCCACACCTGAAGCGTACCGAAAAATCGTAAAATATTTAACAGACACAAATGCCAGTTGAAACAGGAAAGAGCACTACGAGTTGTAATAAGAAATTTACACTCCTCAACCCCAATAGAAGTGATTAAAGAAGAGTTAACGGCGTTAGGGTTCAAAATACGTCAGATAACCAATGTTTTAAAAGAAAATAAAGAACAACCAGGTGTAAAGAATAAAATCCCATTGCCCTTATTTTTCGTCGATCTAGAGCCATCGCCTGGGATCGAAAAAATATACGATGTGAATAGAATTTTCTACACCAGCGTAAAGGTCGAAAAACCGTACCCAAAAAGAGAGTTCATCCAGTGCCATAATTGCCAAGCATATGGCCACACCAAGTCTTATTGCCACCACTTACCACGCTGCGTGAAATGTGGTAAAACACACAAGTCTGGCGAGTGTAATAAACCAATTACAGAACCAGCAGTCTGTGCCCTATGCCTGGAAGGCCATCCAGCCAACTACAAAGGCTGCCAAATTTATAAAAATCTTAAAGCGAGATATATGAAACCCAGGGACCCTGATGATACACCTAAACCAAGAAGAGGACCCGCTAAAATTGTGAACTCTAAGGTTTCTTTTGCCAAGCTACTTGGGGGTAGAGACCCGACTAATGTATGTGAGGCCCTGCCGCAAGAAAAACTCAACCCCAATCTCAATATCCTATCCCACCTAATGTACCTAATCAACAACAACCTCACCAACATCAAATCCAATATGTTCCTCCACCGCCTAATGCTACAGATCTAACCAGCTTATTGACATCCTTTCTTTCAGAATTTAAATCCCTTGTTACCCCACTGATATCACTTCTCACTAACCTAGTATCTCACCTTATCCCTCCTTTAAAAAATCCTTAAATGACTTCCATCAAACCCATATCCATTCTCCTTTGGAATGCGAATGGTGTTAGAAATCACATACACGAACTAACAGCCTTACTACAAGACAAGAACGTAGACGTAGCCCTAATAACGGAAACTC